GAGGGAAGAATGGAGGGATGGTATAGGCAGTGGTGGGGGGCGGAGAGGAAAGAAGGGACATTGGTTGGTTGGCTCTAATGGGTCTCACTGCCCACTCCTGTCTCTAAAAAAGAGAGACCACCACCTGTTTTACTTAATCCATAAGGTCACCATGGGCACCAAATGAAATACATGTAAAAGAATGTTCTAAAGTGTGGAGCGCTGGGTTAGCATGAAGTTAGGGACAATTTAAAAATAGATTAAAGGCCCTTAGGTAACAGTTTAACACAGAGGAGGGCCTCCTGACCTAAACTATTTATTTCTCCTCACTACTTAATTTTTTTAAAACTTAGCTTTGCCACAGAGCTGACAGATCTAAACAAAAAGGTTCATTTCTGTCCATATTCTCAGCCATCCAGGGGTCCGCCCCGGCTCACAGCCTGGTGCAGAGGAGTTTGAAGCGTTGGCACTTTTGTGTGAAAATGGGAGACTACAAAACACTTTAAGTATATGCTTTCAAAAATTAAGACCAGAGTATATGAAATACAAAAAAGATTTTCATTAAGGCTCAAAAAGAAAAAGGACCGAGGAAACAGGAAACAGACACTAGAATTGTGACAGTTCATTGAGGCAGAGAAAGCCAGATAGACACTAGGAGGCGCTCTCCCGGCACAGCAGCTCTGGGGCGCACAGCTTTTAGGGCATTTATATGGAGACTTTTTACCACGGCAGGTGTTTTTAAATTTGTAGATGGACTTGTTTTTTTGTTTTTTGTTTTTTTTGGCTGGTGGGTTGGCTGTTTTCTTCACTTGGAACCATGAGCATAAATAGAAGTATCATATTTTGGTATTTGCCCTCCACCTAAAGACCAGATGAAACTAAAAATAAGCATAGTAGGAGCTGATAGATTACCAGAGTATTGCCGAGACAGAACATAGGAAGAGAGGCTGTTAAGGAAGAGGAGGGGTGCCGGTGTGGTAGGGGAAGGTGAGCTGATCTCGCAGTCGGTCCCACAGATCCACCCCAGGGCCCACAGCCTCTCCGAGTCGGAGGAGGCGCTGCACCGCTGACTTGTACGTGAATGTTGCCGCAGGCCCGTTAGAGCTGGGACCCGCTCAGACAGGTGGAGTCAGGCCCCAAGACTGTCTTCATCACACAACTGAAGTGTCAGCTGTCTTCTCCCTGTTCTTAAAGATGTCAGGCATTGTGAAGTCTGCAAGTTAAAAACTCTATGAGTGGTCCGTTCAGCTTTTGCTCAGGGGCTGACTTCTGTCCTTGAGGGCCCCCCGCCAGCACTGATTCAAACTGCGCCCACGCCTCCTCCTCACTCCACCTGCCCCTCATCCTGCCCTAGTTTCTTCCCAAAGCTAGTATCACTTTATTCTACAACATGTGATTTTCTTACTGCGATAATTGCTTGCTGTCTGTCTCCCTACCACTAGAATGTAGGCCTAGAAGGGTAGGAGCCTTGCCTACTTGTTCATGATGGATCCCGAGTGAATTGTACAGTGACCCACACATGATCTACCCTCAGTGCACGTCTGCTCAGTGAATGAAGAGTAAGTATTTCCTTCACCTCCAGCCTCAAATCCTTTCACAATCACGTTGAGCCGTGAGTTTAAAATCTGGGGTCGATTAAGGAGACCAAAAGCCAGAGGTGAGATTAGATGTCATCAGAAAGTACCTCCTAGGTATAAATAAAAGTTAGAAAATGAACTTTTTTAGCAAATGTTTATTTATATCAAAATACAAAACATTTCTGAAGCAGAGTAATGTTACATGAGAAGCAGTTAAATCCTAAACTTCTTTTTTAACTTGCAACACTCCCTGCATTCCTTCACTGGCTACACATCTTGTCTCCCATTGTGCCCTTTCTTTTCCCTTTGCTTGTCTGCCCATGTCTGTGTTTGCTTGTTTTGCTCTTTAACTCACTATATGAACATGCAGTGTTACTGGCGATGCATTGGTTAGTATCCAGCAAGCCTGGAAATGCCAGCGAGGGGAGCCCGGCACAGTGACCTGAGCCGAGGCTAGCCACAGGTCCTCTCCTGAGTCTGGGGTGTCACTCAGCTTTCAACTGGCAAGAGCCTAAGGCCAAAGGTCACTGTCTGTGGTAGGCAGGGCAGGCTTTATTGCTTAGGCCACAGAGCAGGCGTGGCCAAGGGGCACCTCTGGCCGGGTCTTCTTTGTGGATTGGGAAGAAGGGGTTGGGCGGCCTGAAGGGGTGGCAGCTGGAACAGGCCCAGGACCAGGACGGGAGGTCAGGGGACCCTGCAGGAGGAACCCCTTCTCCAAGAAAGCAAGCTGGAGCTGGGAAGGAGAAAGGTTCCTGCCCGTCCTGTGATTTGGTGGTTGGAGGTGCCTGCCTCTTGGACGGGCCCTTTATAAATGCTTAGACTTTGGAGATTTTGAAGAAAAAGCACCTGGTTGAGAGTGTAGCTATTTCCATAAACCTCCATTCCCTGACAGAGAGGAAAGGGAAGGAGACAGGAAACGGGGGAGGACACCCTACCCCTCTCATTACAACCAGCCCACTCCCAGAGCCAGCCTGGGTCTCCCCTTCAGGCCCCCGGTTGGTGCATTCACTTTGGCATTGTGCACCTGTAGCACACCTACACACATATGCACACACACACCCCAGCCCCCCCACATGCACACACACACACAAATGCCTGGTGTCTTTCCAGAGTCTACTCAGGAAGCAGAGTGGTGTCCCATCTTCACCATCATCCTCCACTCCGAGGGGTCTCCTTGGCCCACAGGCCCCCAAGACCTGGCCCCAGGCTTGGCACACACTGCCATTCCCAGGCTTTGAGAAGAGGGTGACAGAACAGGGCACTCACCAGAGACAGGTTGTACAGAGTGTAGAATATGTTCATATAAGGCTTTGGTACAGCACCGATTAAATGTTCTTATCGTTTGATTTCTAAGTTGTCTCTTAGAAGAAATAAAAAGCTTACTGAAAAAATAGTGTTTTTATTTACTTTTGAGTTACATACCTGAAGTTCAAAAAGTAAGCCTCTAGTTGCCATTCAGATTCACACTCAAAGGTGTTCTGTGTGCATCTGTACAATTTGTTGGTTTGTCTTTAATGGTTAACCAAAGTCAGCCAACCAATACCATGAAGTCAGCTGCCCATGATAACTGACTTTTTCCACTGCATACATACAGAAAAGAGAGAGAGAGAACACAAAAGCCACCCCTACGTCTCCCACCCCAAACCCCTAGGGGGAAAATCAAATAGAGGACAAAATACAGCAAGATTTAAGGAACCAGTTGGACGAAGGAGGTTCAGCCCAGCTGGCCTCTTCAAGAACAGCACCATAAAGCACCCTAGCGCAGTTACGTTGTAGTACTCAACATTCAAGAAATGGAAACGAGGTTTGAAGGATCTTCACGAGAAGACCTGGCATGGATGGGGGCAACCCCCAAAGAAAGTTGAAGAAGGAAAAAGCGTTTGCTATGAGAGCAGGAACTCCCATGACCAAACCGAGAGTCATACCCAGATTCCTCAGAAAAGAACTAATGCAAGAGGCCCCGGGCAGACAGAGGCGCAGGGCTGTTGGGGTGTGGTGAGGTGGCCGCGGGACCCCTCCCCGACCCCTCCGTGTCTACAAGCCACTGGGTGAAATGAGGAAAAGAAATCCACACACGTTTCCAGGTGCGCAATGGAAGTATCATACCCAGGGTGATAGAGTCTCTCCTGGTGAAAGAGAAAAAGCTGGAGACGAGAGGAACCGGGCATCACTGACATGAAGCCGATAGAGTCCCTTCGGATCAGCGGCTGTGAAAAGGAGGAGCAACTGGTGAGCGCACACCCACCTGCGCCCCTACCTCTGGCCCCGCAGATGGCGGTTCGGAAATGAAATCTGAACGAGGCATTAAGACCTCTGGAGACTGATGTATACGACTTGGCAAGGGGGGCTTTAAACTGCTATTCTTCCCTAAACCAGCCATTCCGTCTAAAGTCCCAGCATTCAAGACCCCTGCACACAGCGACCCCTCCCAGGCCCTGGGCACGGCGGCACAGAAGAGACCCCTACATGCCAACACCAGGGCCAGACCCTCAGGGACAGGGAATGTGCCGTGTGGGTTCTCCTGTTCTCCCACCTTCTGCCTTGACGTTGCCCAAAGTGGGTCAGCATGAATACCTACAGCAAAGAGGAGCAGAAGGGCCAGAGGGCAATGGGCAAACCCCGCTTCCCCAAGCTACTACTCGATGACCGAGGAGAAAGGATACGGCCCACGCTGATCCCTGGGTGAGCAACGCCCAGTGCATCTGTCTACTCCAAACCCTGTTCCATAGAGCAGACAGAGGTAGCAAAACTAAAACAACTCTGTAGATGCCCCCACCACGTACCAACAGGGAGAAGCACCAACATTCAGTATCCCTTCCACCACACGGGGACCGAGGAGTACGGCACGAGCACGTGGGGCGGCGCACGGCTCCAGCCCCCAAAGACCTAACCAGAGCACCCATCCCACCCGCCTGTCTTAGCAACTGAGAGGTTCAAAGACCGAAAACTTTGCTTACTCCACATATAATCAAATCGCAATCCGTTTTGCCCCACCTGCCTTTGTGAAAGGCTGGTTCTTCAGAGAAACTGGAGATCTCGGCTGGGCTATCTATCCTTTCCCCGCCAATGCCTACCGTTTCGCCATCTTTCTGAGGCTCAGAGCCAGGATCACAGACCAGGTAGAGATAAACATCACATCCCTTCCAAGCTCTGAAATCTCAAGGTAGGGCTATGTCCCTTGTCTTCACTTTTCTTCCCATAAATGAAGACTCCAATTGGAGGTAGAGGGATGGGATGGGAATGCACAGGTCAGTGACTCCTTGATGCTAAGGACCACATCTAGGCTTTCATATGGAAAGAAGCAAGAGTTTGAGAGTAACCCCAGACCCAGTGGGGTACTAACCCTCTGAGGGGCCTGTGATGCCGAGGTGATTTGTTTTGCTGGTTGCATGGTACCAGAAGTGGGACAGGGTCTGTGGAGAAAGAGAGGATCGCTCTAAGAGCTAAAAAAAAAAAAAACAGTAATGGAAAGCCCTCTTGGTGTGGAGTTTTTGGCAGGTTGGAAAAGGGTGCAAGCCGGGAAGGGACATAGAATGTGCTGCTTTTCCTCTTGTTCAACCTCCCTGAAAAATCTTACAAGAAACATCTGGCCATATCCTCCTTTGGCCTCCTGAGAAGACTGCAGGAAAGATTAGTTACCTGCCAAGGATGGACATACAGCCAGTGGGACCCAGTGTTGGAGCTCCCCCGGTATTGCATGGACAGAGCCCATTTTCCTTCAGTATCCTTGGGAAATGAGAATGTCTTGAGCAGGAATGCAAGGGACTAAGGACAGTGCCTGAGTGAATGCCAGGGCCCCTTAAGTCTACAGTATGGTGGGAGAAGGGTCAGGAGTCAAACTCAAGCTCCACCCCTACCTACTCTTCCCATTAATATCCCAAATGTAAAAAAATGCTTCCCATGGCTGAGGTATCTGAATTCCTCTAATGACCAGACTCCATAAGACAAAAGCTCTTGGCTAGCATGACACTCTAGTTGGGGAGGAGGGGTTAGTATTGCATTTTTTTAGTTGACCAGCAGGGTGTGGGCAGAGAGACTGCCTCCACAGGTCTCTCCTGGCTGTCTGCACCATTTGGCCCTGGACCAGCTTCAAACACATCACTCTGAGCTCTTGGCAAGTCGACAAAAAAGCTAGCACCCAGAGACAATTGCTGAGGCTGCAGGGTACGTGGTCCTTGCAGCATATTTGAGGTCTTGAGTTCTCAGCGAGGTATTCTTCAGGGCACACAAAGTTTCTTGCTCAAGTGCCACTGAGTGCCTACTCCCCAGAATCTCCAGTTCTGGGTCAGACCCTACTGATACATTGTTCAGTTCCGGAAGTCCCAGGCCAGGTGCCAGAAGGAGGGTCCAGCGGCCCCATCCTCCCCATTACGCCCCAGGTTCTCCTCCCACTTCTCCTCCTCCACTCAGTGTCCCAGGATTGGACCATTCTGTTTCCAATGCCACCTATTTTCCAATTAAAATAATAACTGGAAAAAGCGTCTATGATGTATTTCTACCAGACACTACACCCACACTGGCTCCAAGAACCTGCAGCAAGAATGACCAGGGTGTTCTCCAAGACCAAGCCCATGCCATCGGCCTCACAGAACTCTCCTGAGATGCCTGCAGGGGTGCTTGCGTCAAAGTGCTGCAAACCAGGATAGGTACTGCTGTCAGCCCCCAGGTAACCTCGATGAGGGCACCACCCCCAGCAATATGGGGATGGACTCAGAGTCTTCCCCTCTCCACACTCACTGTATTATGCACCTGTGCCAAAGCTTTCAAGCCGCAGCGTCTCCTCCCAGTAACAAGAGACGCTGTGGATCCTGGCTCTCCAGGACTATCAGATCCAGTAGTTTCCCACAACCCTCGGCTCACTCGTCCTCTCTGCGGGAGCACTGTTTGTTTTTTTACTTTTTAAACTTTTACATACACATTTCCATCAGAAAGACCCAAGCAACTCTGAACAGAGAGTGTCTCAAAAGACGAGGCATGGAGGATGGATGGTGAAGGGGGGGGCACCAAGGCATGAGCTAGAATCCCAGGTCACCCCAGGTGGTCCTGCCCACACGACTCTAAGCACAAGTACAAAAATAAAGCCAACTGTGACCGCGTGTAGAGATATAGACAAGCTAGGTAGATAGACCTTATAGAGGCTTTCTGCCCATTTATATATGTGTGCCGAGGGCATGAGTCCCCGATCCTCTCGCCCGGCTTTAGTCTCTTGCCCTCCCATTTCCCACTCCCCAGATGTCCCACTACCTGAAGCCTCCCAATCATGACTATTGCATTCTATCCCTGCACCCACCCCCGCTTACATAAGCTCCCCTCTCTCCTTAAAATAGAACAAATTATATATATTTATATAATTTTATACACAATCTCCATAAAAAATACACTAAAGGTGGTATATTCCTCATTTCATCCTCCTACCGAAGTAGGAGCTGCCTCGCAAAGAAAGAGTCAACCAAAAAGAGGATCTCCTAGGCCTGAGGCTACTCAGGCCAATTAGTGTGTCCCTACAAATCTCTTCTACACATATACACACTCAAATACATACCACATACACACCACACCACAAACATACCATACACAACACACCACATACTACATGCATAGGTACACACACATACACACCACACCACACCACACACACACACACCATACAAACGTCACATACCACATGCATGCGTGCAGGGACTCTCTCTCTCTCTCTCTCTCTCTCTCTCTCTCTCTCTCTCTCTCTCTTCCTGAGCCCAGGAAAGGAACATGGACAAGACAGCTGGCTGGGGCTAGAGACCAGGGAGATAGCCTGGTGACTGCAGAGAGACATGTGAGACAATCCCACCTCTCTGCCCCAGCCTGGACACTGTCTGCTCACAACAGACCCCTCTTGGTTCGCAGTAGGCAATAGAAATATTCGTTGAGACTGACTGACAATTTCCCTTCCAAAGACTGCAAGATGGCCGTCAGGAGGTCTACTCCCCACACCAGAAACAAGGTCTCTTAGATGCCATAAGCCAAGAAGGACCAAAAAGCCCCTAAGCCCTCATCAACCAATAGGAGGAAAGTTGGCATTTGCCCCTTCCTTCTACGTATGTTGCACATCATCAAAAGCATGCTCGCAGAGTTTGTAAGGCTGAAAATGCAAATCCCCCCTCCCCAGCCCAAACCTTCTCCCCTCTCAGATTCCCTTCCCCACCCAACCACTTCCCCATCGTAAACCATGCACAAGGTCAGGCTCCCTGGAGCCGTGAAGTGGGATAGGAAGGAAAAGGAAGTAACTGGTGTGTATATGGGGCGGAAGGGAGAGTGTGGCCTGGGTCCTAAAATAAAGACGGGGAATCCAGTGCCAGGGAGGGGAGGGATTGGTAGAGCACATTCCTTCAAGCTCCAAAAGAGGCCCAGCAGCCATTCATGTCACCATCAAGTGGGATGGGAAAGACAGATGGCAAAGGACCAGGGACAGGAACTGAGGACTTGTACCATTTCTCCCTAACCCCCCCAGTCCAGCTCTCCCAGCCAGTGATCTGAAGCTAATGACTGTTTCATCAGCCTTCTTCGGAAACCCTAACTACCACTGCTGACCCACCACAGAGGAGACTGTCCAAGTGATTTTATTAATGGCTGCTGTTCTACCAGAGTATTTAGGAGTCAAGATGCACCAGCTCTTCTAGAACGTATGGGCAGCCAGCAGTGATGTTTGCACTTATGCCTCACTTTTCCTCATCCTACACAGAAACCCTTGGGGTGTGGGAATGTCTTTGGATAAGAGTCAACCTATTGATTTATTCTTCTAGCTTAAAATGGGTCATAGAAACACTTCTACCCGCTCAGTAACCCAACAAACAAAATATTATGCTTGCTCATGAAAAACTTATTTGAAAGCACAGACGGGGGCCATACATAAAGCACTGGACCAGTGTGGATTCACTGCCAGTCAGAGGGGGTGGTGATGGACACCCCTAACCAAACATCGAGCTGCTAAAGCGCTGAAGTCCAATCTGGGCATTGATCCTTGGTTTATCAACTTTTTAAATTCTGCCCCTTGATGTGAAAGGAGGCAGATTTGGAGACATCAAAGAGGACAGAGGAATGGCTGGTCTGATTTCAGGGTGAACCCTTTCACCCTCCTACGTCCACCAGACTGGTAGCTTTCATCCCATCAAAGAAGAGAAGGTGAGGACGAAAGCCACTGTGTAGCTCTGTGATCTGCAGCAGTCTTGCCCCCTCAGGAGGAAAGGTGTAACCCAGCCTCAGTCCCTCCTCTCCACCCCCAGCGACACTGTCTCAGGACCAGTTTCAGATCATGGAAGAGGCCACCTGCCCTTCTCCTTATGAGAACAGACGCAAATCCCTAAGAACAGTTCTTCCTTCTCCACCAACACAGAGCTGCTGGTAGCACAGGGACCTCAAGACAAGTCTCCCAGCTTTGGGCCTGAGGAGTCCCCACAAACTGACATCACAGAGAATACATCCATGCTTGGTTTGGGCACTCAGCGTCATAGGCTGACTCTAGAGGGGGCAAGGAGGTCCAGCCAAGAAGCAAGACCCCTTCGGGATCCAAGACTCACCCCCAGGCTTCTTTCAATGACTGCATCGCCCCCCGCAAAGGTCTTCACTGCCTCCACCCCCAGCCCACCCCAGCCCAGGGCAGCCTCTCCTCTTTCTCTTCCACGCCCAACCTGTACACGGCACCCTGAATAGTAACTAAGTTACCATGTGTCCAGAGAGAAAGGTAAGCTTGATGTCCCTGGCTTTGGTCTTACTGTCACATCCATCCCCGCCTCCCACTCCGGGGCCGACCTGGCTGCCTACTCCCCTTCCGGCCTTACAGACACGCGGCGGAAAGCCGACCTCCTCTCCACACTCCAGCTTTCTAACGCCCTTCCCAAAACACTCCTGGGTCCTCTCCTCAAAGCAACAATGCAGACCCACGGGGCTCCAAGCCTCCAGCCTCCCTTTATTTTGAAGATAGAAAGGTAGAACTGAGCCATGGATGCCCGCTTCCCAGAGGGGCTGGGGGACAAACTCAGGGGAGCCCCCAGGAACTCTACCTTCCTGCTGTTCCCCAACAATCCCTATGATGCCCCTGCCGAAAGCTCTGTCACATGCAAGCAAAGCAAGCCTCGGATTAACCATGAGCTTTTCTTTCCCTGTGTTTCTCTACATAGTAATAAAATGTACTTTACAGTTCCTTCCCCCAGCCCACCCCAATCCACCAAAAGGCTTTTTCTAACAAAATTGGAAGAAACAGCTCCAACTATGCACACCTTGGCCCCGAATTCTAATCCTGGTGAGTGACAAAGTCGCCCTGATGCTCTGTGAAGTCTGTTTCCTCCCTGAAGCTATCTTGTCAACCTTTAAAAAAAAAAAAACCCTAGTCAGGAAATTTCACCTGTGAATCCTACCAGGTTTCCTCTGCATGAAAAGGGCAAAGGAAAACAGGTGAAATCAGTTTAACCCCAAATATTTTAGATCTCAAATCAAAAATAAAGACAGTATTGAAAAATATTAATAATGACTCCAGTTCACCCCTGCTTGAGACACCCCCCTGCACACGACCGTGGGACATGGGCTCCTCCTCAAAGGGGGCGCAGACCCTGCCCGCCCTGTGGGATGAAGCATCCTTCCCCTGGAGAAAGCGGAGTCTCAGAAGGCCTCTCAGACCCGTGTCTCTGAGGAAAGCTGAGGGAGACAGGCTGGGAGCTCACAGACAAAGTTGACCACCGCGTGCTGGGTGGGGCCCACACTCAACCCCAGCTGGTCAGCCAGGGAATCAAGAAACAGGAAACCCACTTTCCTTATTAAACAGCTTATGGCATCACCTTACCCCTTCCCCGGGCTCCAAGTCACCTAACCTGAAACAGCTGCAGTCTCCGGGCAAGATGCAGGACGAAGGGGCAGGTTACTTCTATGCAAGGCTACCAGATCATCCAAGGGGCAGTTTGGAAGACACCTGATCTCCCATGGACTGAAGCGTGAAAGTCAGAGGAAGCTTCAGAGTCGTCACTGCAGTTGTTCAAGGGCAGAGCGCAAAGGACATCTGGTCCTTAGAAACGGCTGCACCCCACCATGCAGACATTCACGAGCACACCCTCTCGCACATGCTCACACTCAGCACTTCAGTGTGTGCCTGTGACATCCCTGTCTCCGTCTCGTGGACAGAGGGAAATGTATTCTGCCAGTTTCCATCGCAATCCTTACAGGAAGCACTGAACCAGCTCCCCAAGGTGCAGCAAGGCTGCCAGTCTCCATGCACACTGTCACAAGAAGGAGGCCCTCTTGGGAGGAGAAATGAGTCCGAAGCTGTTGAGAGATAGGTCGGCCTTATGTCCTTCCCCAGCTTTGGGGACACCCAGCCCAGCTGCCACCCAGTGGCCAGCAAAAAGCACAGCTCCAACCATTTGGTCTTATCTGCTGAGGTACAGGGCACAGCCAGAGAAAGGAAGGAAGGAAGGAAGAAGTCAGCACCTTTGTCACCACTGGGGATGGCTCACGGGCGGGGCCCTGTATGCCACCGTAAAGCAGCAGAGCCTTCCCCTATCTCCTCTTCTGTTGTAACCTCGGGGCCTGCAGTCCCAGCACGGGGCTCAGAAAGGGTGGCCTAGTTCACCCTGAAGACACACAGCCCTGACGTCTCACGTACAGTCCAGCAGGATCTGCTCTGCTCGAGAAACAGCCACCATGAGAGTACGCACAAAGGCCACAACCGACCCCAGGGCCCAGAGGAGGTGCCCATGTGTCCCCTGTCGGGCACGGTGGCAGAGGTAGTGCTGCCTCAGGAAGGAAGCAGAGTCGCTGCTTCGCTGGAGCTGCCGCCCGGAGGGTGGCTTGGACTTGGACTTGGTGCCCAGCGAAGTGCACTGATGGCGCAGGCTCCACCCGGGGGCTGGGCAGTGGACACGGCGAGGCCACAAGTGCTGCCCCTGCCACTCCTTTCTCCACAATGTGTCGCGTTTGGAAAGAAACTGTGGTTTTTGTGACTTCTGAGGCAGAGCCTCAAGGGTGGAATTGGTCCCCACTCGCTGGGCAAGAGAAGGAAGCACGGGGCGGGTCTGCGTGGCAGCGGATTCACCCCTAGGATGGAAGCTCCCAGGGATGTGCAGCTGCCTGCTCTCGGGCCGCCTCGCCTGGGTCACCGGGCTGAGAGCCACAGAAGTCTCCAGTGCTTTGGCTGGGCCAACATCCAAGCAGGTATCTGGGGACAAGGGATGTCCCCAAACCCACCAAGACAGCAGCACCAAGAAGGAAGTACTTGGCGGAACCTGATAGCCCCCTCGATTCTCGGGTGGCCGGAAGAGCAGGCTCCTGCACGAGAGGAGGAGAAAGACGCCAGACGCACCCCAGCCACACTGAGGCCTTCTGCCCTGTCAAGGGCAGCGCCGTTACCTTACTGGAAGAGAGAGATACATCTGTAGTCGCTGTAAGACGACCTCGCAGAAGCTTCTGGGTGCTAAGAGTCTGAGTTAGGACAAGAATTCGGCAGGGAAAGGATGGAGCCTGGCTCCTGCCTCCCACCCCTTCCAGCTTCACTCCCAGGCCTCAGCCAGTTCTATATAAACAGACCTGGGGGAATAGGGGCCTGAGCACCCCCAGAACCCAGAATCTGAGGCCCCCCAGCTTTATCTGATCCCATCCTGTGGGAACTCAGGTCTGCGGCGGGCTGCACGTGGGAAGCATGGAGATGAGCGCGGGCGGGCTCCCCACACGTGGCAATTAATCAATCTGGGGAATTAGCTCCCACAAAAGGAAAGGAGGAATCCAATCAGGGCTTTGGAACAGCGCTCCAGAGGGTGCGGAGCCAGGCTGGGATATAAATAGAGCCACGGCGCCTGGTGCTCGGCACAGATGGCTCCAGAGTGGGAGGCCCTCGGCCACAGGGCTCCAAGCCTGGCTGGACCAAGGGGCTGACGATGAGCTTGAGTCTGAGCACAGGGCCACCTCCCGGCCCCGCTGCTAAGCAGTTTCTACTTCTGAGCCAAACCATGGAACGAAGAGAGATGCCTGCCTGGCCGTTCACCAGCCACCCTTCTTCACCCAGAACCAAGAAATAAAGGCTGTGTTTAGTTCTGTGGTAACTCACTGCTGAACCCCCCCAAAGCAGGCAGCAGGAACCACTCTGAATGGGAGAAGGTCAAGACAAACGGGGAATTCAGCTGAGAAGGCATGAATCCCACTTCAGAAGGACTCATTCCCGAGATAGAGACAACAGGGCCCCCGCGAGCCCCTCACAAAGCCCACATGCCAGCTGCCCTCTCCCTCCTCCTTCCATTGACCACAGAAGTAAACAGCGTTTGCTTCCACGTACATATATATACATAAAGAAACCCACAAACTCCACACATACGCAGTTGCATCTATATCTATATATATGTAGAGTCTGGAAGATGGCAGGAAGTCCAGCCCTCTTTCAGGACTTGAGAAACTGAACAGAAGCAGACAGCAGTGAGAGCCATTGCTTCCTCTTTTGCACTCCAGAGATATTTGAGGAGGTGGGAAAAATCCATCCAGTGAAGAGGGGAAGGCGGGGGAGGAGGCATAGCTCTTCCTGTCCCCAGTTCACTTCCCGAGCTCTACACACAGCCACGGCGGCCGGTCTGCCCTCAGCCCTCTCTGCTGGACACGAGGCCAGCAGGCCAGGATGCAGAGGAGACACCCGCTCAGGCCAGAGGGAGAACAAGCAGAACCAGGGTCTGAGCAGCCCTGGAAACTAACGACCAGGCCACCCCTCCACTGGCAGGAGAGGACGAAGCCCCGCACACCCATCGCCCGTGCCCACCCTTGCCCCTCGGCCAGCATCCTTGCCCAGGGGACGCTTAAGTTGTGGCATCACAGCAAAGTGGCGTGGCCAGGATCATCATGCTCCACGCTGCTGAGAATTGCCGTCTGGTCTTCCGGAAGCTGGCGGTGGCACAAGTCTGAGAGTCGGGCAAAGGGGTCGGGCCGGGAATGTCTCTTCTTCCTCCGGAGGCAGACAGCTTCGTCGGGCCACAGGACCTGAGAGTTTGGAAGGTTCTGAGCCTGGGAGGCAGAACCATCTGAGGAGGAGCAGGTGCACACACACAGGAAAAGAGAAGACAGTGGTGAAAGGGAGAAGGCAGCCTCACACACCCAGCCGTCCTCTGCAGGGCACGGTGCCCGGCCTCTAGGGTCACACGCCGGAATCACCCAAGTGCAGAATGGGCAGCAGAGGAACCACGAAGGGCCAGTGCCCGGGGCCACCCCAAGTGCTGTCCTAGTGAGAGCCAGGAGGCAGGACGGCTGTGGCTGTACTTCCTGCAGATTCACAGCTCTAGCCAAGCAACATCTCTTTTTCATCTTCTATTTAATATTGAATATATTCAATACCTTTTATCTAATATTTCTTCTATTTATCGATATTAAAGAAATATTCATACGTCTCTTTTAGTGCCTCCTGGGTACCAGGCATCATTCTAGGTACTGGGGTTGGGACTCAGCACACTTTTCCCCCCCACCGCCTCCCCCAGGCAGTGATGGACGTCACACAGATTTTATCCATATGCATTAGAGTCAGGTCTGGCCCACCCTGGACTGCCAGGGCCATCCCTCTGCCTTATGGTCCTTCTGGGGACACAGAGGTAAAGCCCTTGCATTCTAGAAGATTATACTTCAATGTGGCAATGGGGAGGAAGAGACAAACTATAAAGACTTAAAAACTACAGACATAAAACCGTCAGATACTGCAAGTGCTACCAAGAAAGATAAAATAGGATCACTAGACGGCAAATGAATGAGGCACTGCTTCTACTCTGAAGGAGTAACACCGAGGCGAGTCTTGAATTATGAACCTTCCACAGACCTGTGGGAGAAGTGTTCCCACGGTGTGAAAGCCCCAGGCTGAGAGCAAACGTGACCTGTTGACCGAAGGAAGGACGTCACGGTAACTCAGAGCGAGCAGAGTCGGTGAGGCAGGAAGGGCGGGCAGAAGTCTGTTCTGATTGCAGGGGGAAGGGAAGCTTCTGGAGGGTTTTAATCAGAAGCGTGTGTGTGCGTGTGCATGCGTGTACGTGTGTGCACACTCCCGGGACTTTCTAAAAATCACTCTGTTCGCTGTGTGAATACACTGCAGGAGCCAGGACGGAGGCAGGAGGGCCAGAGAGGAGGCCGCTGCTCTGGGCAAGGTGAGAGATGGGAATGACTCGTAATTTAGCTTTAGCATTTGAGACAGAAAAAAGTGGTCAGATTCAGGATGTGTTTTAAAAGTTAAGTCAACAGACCTTACCAGATGGACTGGAGGTAAGACGTGAAAGGAAGAGGGTCAAGGATGAAGTACCCTGAGCAACTGGGCAGGTAGGAGTGCCTTTTATGAAACTGGGAAAGAACCGAGAAGCACATCTAGATAATCAGTAACTCTATTTTGGACACGGAAGAGGCTTACAGGACATCCAGCTGCATGTGGAGCAGGCACCTGGAAATATGAGACTTGAGCTCATGGACAAGATCTGGGCTAAATACGGGGGGCATTTGCGAGTTGTGGACATATGACAGGAAACAGGACCGCTGCAAGCAGAACAACAGAGAATATAGGCATCTCGTGGGACTTTTTTAAAAAAAAAGATAATAGATAAATGATAGGTAGGTAGGTAGGTATGTAGATGGGTCTTAACCTGAAATGGGCTTAAATGGGTTGAAAATTCAGCTTTGGGCTCTAATTTCTCTCCCAAAACCTAAAAAATTCATTTTCTTTCTCTCCACCTCAGTATTCCAACCTATAAACTAACAGGATAATAATACCACCTGAAGGCTAAGTGAGAACTAAGCGCTCACTGCCTCCCAAAGATTCAAGGGCCTCTGTGTATCACTCTTCCATAACCCAGCCTCTACAGAAAGTTGCACTCTGGTAGATAAGAAAGACTGGCAAGGAAGCTGTGCAGTGGTCTTCCTGGACGGCCTGTCACAGCACTTCTAAAACCACTGGTAGAAAGAGAGCACGTGATAAATATTTTCTAAGTCTGAAAAACGGCTGAATTATTTTTGCACTATATTAGAAGCTTCCTATCGCTGCTGGATAAACATCACACATTTCAGTAGTGGTGTCCTTTTCATGAAATACGGCAATTTCACTCTATCTCATGGAGAAAAGTCTGGCCAGCCCGCAGAGGCTGAGTCCATGCCACAGTGACCCCTTAACACTGAGTAGGACCCCAGAATTTCATGTCCAACCAGAGGCCTGAAATGATAAAGAGGAAATATTTAAGGAGATAGGGATATGTCCAAGGCATGTGACAGAATGAGAAAGAAAAGTACTATTTACGTTGTTAAAAAATACAGGGGACTTCCCTGGTGGCACAGTAGTTGAGAATCCGCCTGCCAATGCAGGGGACACGGGTTCGATCCCTGGTCTGGGGAGATCCCACATGCCGCGGAGCAACTAAGCCTGTTCACAACTACTGAGCCTGCGCTCTAGAGCCTGGGAGCCACAACCACTAAGCCTGTGCGCCACAACTACTGAAGCCCACACACCTAGAGCCTGTGCTCCACAACGAAAAGCCACCATGATGAGAAGCCCGCACACCGCAATGAAGAGTAGCCCCCGCTCGCCGCAACTAGAGAAAGCCCGCGCACAGCAACAAAGATCCAACGCAGCCAAAAAAAAATACACTGAAACAATGCCATGTTTTCTAAAGGCGTATGCACAGAAGGGTTCTGAACACACATACCCCCAAGAAGGATGGTTCCCAGGTTGGATGAAACAGAACTGGGAGGATGATCTGAGACTTTTAACCTTACTTTTCTCATTTTTTGATATGAAAATTCTATTTGTATATTACTTGACAATTAGTATTAAAGAGAAGCAAAGAACGAGATAAGCTGGAGGAGTCGATTGTGCAGAGAACCCAGGGCTGGGATCCTGAGCCAGACAAGCCCATAGTGGCAGGTCAGGGTGGGAAGAGAGGAGCAGGGTGCTTCTCGACATTTACCGGATCGTTTCTTTGACTTCGAGGAGCCCTTGGATGACTTTTTGGGCTTCTTTATCCGTTGGTATTTCAGAGCCTCCAGCCTCTCAGGTACAGCAGCATTCCCAGGAGCAGGTGGATGTGTCCTGGAAGGGACAATTGGAGAGGCACAGGTCAGCTCCCGGACGAGAGAGCTTTGGAAGAGGAGCTGGAAGAAAGCCAAGTAGCTGACCCAGAGGAGACAGAGCACAGCTCTACGGAGTCCCAGGTGCCCATGACCAGCTCCTTGACACCTGCCTTCCTGCTGCTCCTGGAAGAGAGAACCCCAATGGAGAGCTCCAGCAGTGGGAGGCCTGCTGCAGGTGGACACCAATCTGTAGAGCCATCAGATGGCCTAGGAAAGGGAGAGACAGTCTTTAATGGCGAACCCATCACACGGCACTCAAGCTGGGGCAAGGAAGTCGGAGAAGGAAGCAGCTGGGATGTCTGAAGTTTGTGGATCATCACAGTCAAGACCTTGAAATGAAAAGTAAAGGGGCAGATTAAAGGACCGGAAGAACAACCCCACCCCACTGACTGTCCTCCTCCGGGAAAGACAGGGCCGGGCCAGATGGGAACCCAATGCCCAGTGAAATCATCTCCTCCATCGCCAAGATTCAGGCAGAACCCCGGCAGCCAACAGCAACTAACAGTTGTCGTCCACCAACATTTCAGCAGCAGACTGGGCTCAGGCTTCATCAGTCATGTGAGAGAACAGAAGAGGATGGAAGTGGATCGTGACGGTGAGAGTGTCCAAATCAGGCAGGCTTGCAAAGCCCTTGATATCCGCAGCAGGTATCCAGTGGATCCATATTTTAAGATTCGACAGAAAAACCAAGGTTATGGGAGAGGGGACCACCTACGTCAGCGTCTCTTTCTGCCCCAGTTGTCGAGTGGGTGTAGCCGTTTGCCTAACAGAGCAACTGCATGGTTAGGACAAAGGCAACAACTTAACTGGAGCCTGTGCTGCCCAGGTGACAAAGGGGCCCAAAGAGAGCTGAGAGGATGGACTGTCTGTGCCAGTCTGCGCTTACTGGAGAGAACTGTTCAAGGATCATAAAAGAAGAAAATCTAGAAGATATGGATCAATGCCATTTCTTCTCAAAGTAAGCCAAACTTGGACCCTGAGGAGTAAGGGGGGAAGAGGGAGACAGGTTGCTCTTTCTTTCCCTCCAGTGCTGGCATTAGCATGCCATCAGGGAAGCAGGGACACTCCAGGACCCTGGTGGATGGGGGCGAGTCACTCTCCCTCCATCCCCACACCTCCCTCTTCCACCTCCCTCACAATCAGTGGTGGGTAAATTCTGACAGGAAGGAGTAGACAGCCAAACCCGTGAGGGGAAAAAAAGTCCCCAGTGGTGAGCAAGCAATCTAAGGTTTAAAAAAAAAAAAAGAGGGGTGGGAAGACTACAGCCAAATCTCCCCAACATCAGATATCTCTGCAGGGATGAGAAAGAAAAACATACAGACTAACTGTAGATAAGCCTCTGGTTCCTGGGGTTTCTTGCGCTAACTGACAGTGAAGCAACCTACATCTTCTTTGATGGATGCCATCATTCCAGCGTCCTTTAGTAGGTACAGCATGGAGAAGCTCCTCCCAAGTTCAGGTCAGAAACATTAATTTTCAACAGCCCCCTAAGAGCACAGAACTAAGAGCCCAGCTACATGCACACACGGTCTCAGAGAGAAGGAGTCCAGCTCACCACTGGAGGTCGGGTCTTCACCCCGAAGACCTGCCTGCCAACTCCCCCTTCCTTCCTCTTTCACAAACCCCACAGCCTACCCATGGAGACCCTGCACAGCAGCAATAGGAAGGAAACTTGGGAGGCAGACAAAGGTTGGAGATGGCCAGGGCACGAGGGAGCATGACTTCCCAGAGCTGATGCAACGTCCTCACCCCCCGCTCGTCCTGGACTAAGGCTTCTTCGTGCTGCCTAAAAGGAAAAAGACATGAATCCACAGCTCAGTTCATCTGCCTCCTGGTCCTGGCCAGAGTCTTCCAACAGGCCATACAGATGAATGGTGTACAGTCTGAGGAGGTGCATGGCAAGCAAGTGGACCCAAGGTCCAGTAAGCAAACAGCGCAATTCAGGGTGACCCTCTGGGCATGAGAGAAATGGGTACAGGGTGCCCCCGAAAACTCCTAGGGATGCTCCAAGCCAGCTGAAACTTCCAGGGACAACATTATTATTACAAGCAACATATTACTACTATTACCACTTTTATCATACAGCATTTACTTACCACTTACCACGCCAGGCACTGATCTATGTTCCCTGCAATAATTTTCTTTAACCCTTACAACATCCCTAAGAGGCAAATACTGTATTGACCCCACTTTTCAGATGGAGAAACTGAAGTTAGTTTAGAGAGGTTAGGCAGTCTGTCTTATAATCCAGTTATCATGGGGTAAGAGCCAGGACTCTCAACATCAGATAAACTGCGTGTCCAACTTCTTCCTAAGGGAAACAGGTGCAGAAGCTACATGGAAGGAAAACACTGCTTTCGCATGCACCTGAGCAATCAGCCTGCCCTGCACGCGCTCGCTGCCACAGTCACCGACATCCTCTGCTTCGGTGGCAGAGCCAGAGAAGACAGACCAGGGAGGGCGAAAGCTGGCTGAAGTGATGCCCTGAGCAGCAACAATCCACTGAGTGGGGGAAGCCAATTTTCCCCTGTGAAGCAGCCAAGCTCCAGCTCTTCCAAGGCACCTGCTGTCCACCTGTTTTCGCGTTTGGCTTGGTGCTCAGGCTCAGATGCACGACAGGAGAAGGCTCCCCAAGGCACTGGAACACTCTCCCGGTACAGGAGGCAAAAGATAAAAGCAAGGGTCTGGAAGGACGGGAGGTACAGGGGAGGGGGCAAAATGGGTCTTTATATTCAGCTAATTATGTAGAAAAGTCACATGAAATGTGTCCCAGCAGACATCAAACCACCTCCCTTCTCTGGGAAGGGGGAAGGGGGGGCCATGTCCCCTATCAACACCAAGCCCTCCAGGGGACTTTCAGGTAATGGACTTTTGATGCCGATGACGTTCAGACAGTAGGAGGCTGGGTGAAGCAGCTCCATCCCATCCCTGGAACAAGGGCAGCAGGTAGTCCAGGGCTGACCAGTGGGGTGCCCTCCAGGGAGGTGAGGCCGGAGTTCTCTTTCCAGTCAGCCCCAGTTCTTCCAGAACACGCAAGAATTCAGCAAACTTGGACCCCATCCCCCAGAAAGTACGAGCATTACTGGAAGGTGAAGCCCTGAAATTAAAGCCCAGGGGCTTCTCTGGACCGTGTTCCCCATGAACCCCAGTTCTCTGTCCCACAGGTGTTTCTTTGTGGTTCACACCTACCAAAGACAGCCTGAAACTGACCTTAACACTCTCTTTTTCTCTCTCTCACCTGTTATAAAATCCATACAAAATCCAAATCACAACGAGATAGCCCCAGAGGCCTTAGTGCATATCTCTATGCTCACCCAGAGCAGGGGAAGAAAGACACAGCCAGGTTCAAAAAGGCAAACCACAGGGCAGGACAGTCGAAATCCTCCGGACTTTTCCTGCCCTCCTGCCCCAAGAGCTGGCCATTACCCCGGCGGCTGCCGTGCCCGGTGACAGGCAGAGCAGTGATGAAGGAGCACATCCTTCCTCTCCTGAGCGGACACTCTGCCGTCTGACTACAGGACTGGGGTGGAGACCGAGGACACCCCCTCACATCCACGGTGTAGCCAGGACATGGGTGAACCCACCCTCTGCCACAGCACAGCCAGCCAGGAGTCCGGAGATCAGTGCCCACCACTGCGCCCACAGACAGCCCCCCTCTGGTGGGCCAAGTGTGTGGCCTCCGAACTCGGCAGAGGCTTTTACCAACGGGACCTCTTTCCCACGATTCACCCAGTACAAGGGGCCCCAGCACGCTCCCAACCCACCTGCCTCGTGGAGGCCAAGGTCAGTATGAACAGGAGAGGGGATCAGAGGGGATGCAAGAACAGGGCCGCTACTGGTGTCAGACAGGGAACTGAGAGCCCCATCCACAAAGGGACAGGTCCGAGAAGGGAGCTGGGAGGAGGAGGAAAGGGGAGAGGAGGCGGGGCGGGAGCAGAACAGGGGAGAGCGAAGGAAGTGGGAACAGAGCAAGGACACACGTGGACGAGACGAGTCACACCACCTCCAACGAGACCCAGCGGGGACACATGCAAAGGCAGTGTGAGAGTGGCGCCCAAGAAGGAGCCTGGCTCCTGCAAGGGCCCAGCAGCCTCCACCCAGAGCTCTCGGCAGGCAGCACAGTGAGGGCCTGACTCCCCAAGGCTGGAGAGCTGGCCGGGCCAGGCGGAAACCACCCTGCATCGCGCCCCTGGTTTCCTGGTTTACCACAGCAGTGAGAGGGCACCCAGCCCCCGGGTCTGGCAGGCGGGGACACCGGGGAGGGGGGTCACGAACCAGAACGGGGCCCGGACCCAGGCACTTTCCCAGAGTGGAGCGAGAGCTGGGCCTGGAGTCATCACTCCTCTGGGGGCAGCAGGGGAGTCACAACTGGGGGCAGGGAGGAGAGCAGGAAGGTGGAGGGCGGTCCCATCACTGTCACCCCGTTGGCCGCTCCTAACTACACTGTCCCTGGTCTCCCCGAGCTCATGGCTGCGGCGTGGCACCCGGCCAGCCTCACACAATCCCGCGACCTCTGGCTGCAGACACTCTCATGGCACGGCCGTCCTGTTTACGGGAGGCCATCCTTACGCCCAGAGGAGACCGATGGTCCTGAGTCAGGACCGTTAGCCCTCCTGCCGTCTCCAGGTGGGGAAGGGATGCAGAGACTTCAACCCGGGAAGCCAGAAGCGCCCAGAGGAGGCTCCCTCTCCCATCTGAGTGCCTGGTGCCTGCGTGTGCTTGTTGCCACAAGCACGGGACTGGCGTCCACGGCAAAAGGAAGATCTTGTCAGCGGCCGTGAGACTGAGCAGGCCTCAGGGGACCACAAAAACCTCTCAGAGAGACTTGGCACCCCTCTGGTGTCAAGCTCCCGAGACCTCCACCTGGAAGGAGTCGCCCACATGGAGAGCAGAGCTGCCTTCTGCCCGGGGGCCTGTCCTCTCCTCCGGCGGAGCTCCTCCAAGACCCCTTCCCGGAGCTGTGGCCCCGGGACATCAGGAGTGGCTACTGCAGGGACCTTGAGAGCAACGTGAGCCCGCGGGCAAGGTCCACGCCTCAGTCCTGTGACAGCCAACAGGCTGCAGAGCAGGCTCAGGAGTGGTGACCTGCCCCTGCCCTCAGAGGACGACAGGTGGCCTGGTCCTGAGAAGGACCTGGCTGGTGAGGAAAGGAGCAGGGCCGTAGCCCAGCCGCGTGCTCCTGGGAGGACCGAGCATTGGCAGGATCCCGAGAGGACAGTGAGGGAGCGGCCACCCCAGGGGGAGATCTGCACCAGGGGGGCTGAGGGAGGAAGGGGGTCTCTACGCCTGCTACTGGGGAAACTGGGCAGAAAGGGGCCGGTGCTCCGAGACACCACGTGCCCAGCCAGGTTTCCAAGGTGCAGAGGTGCAAAGCGCTCGTAGGCATTCTAAGCCCCTGAGGGTGCATGCAGGGCCCCAAGGGCTTCTGCGGGAAGCTCTGGGCAGCAGGATGGCGAGGTGTCTGAGTGCAAAAACTGCAGGGAGGCTCTGGGAGGGGCTCAGAAGCTGCAGCGAGGCAGTGCGAGCGAGGCCCGGCAGCCGTGGAGCAGCAGGGCGTGGGGACCCAGAAGCCATGGGCCATCGGGGCGGAGGCTGCCGCCCCACAGAGGGGTGAGGGCTGTGGTCTGGATTCCCCTATGGAGGAAGCGCTGGCCCTGCGGAAGCCCGTCCGCTGGTCCGCCCCCTGCCCACCCACCCAGCCGGAGCTCCCTTACCTATTGAGCTGAAGAGAGGCTTGTCTCGACAACACTGCCCAGATAGCTGAGATCAATCAGAAACAAAGCGGTTATCAACATGGGTGCGGGGAACCACCCACGCACACCCAGAGGGAAGGGGAGGAGCACGGGGACCAGAGAACCGACAAGCGAGGCCAGAGAATGGGGTGAGCAGTAAGGAGAGAGACAGAGACCCAGACGGCACGATGGGACGAAGCAGATGAGGGCTGCACAAAGCACAGACGACAGGGCACAGCCCCCCGCATCTCCTGCACAGACAGCACGCAGCTCTCCTCCACCTCCCGAGCTGCTCCCCACCTGAGCCGGGGTGGGAGGTGAGGCTTGTGCTTCCAGGTACCAGAGTGGGGGGGAGGGAAGGGGGCAAGGGAAGGGCGCTGGGCTCCCTCCTCTCGACCTCCTCCCGTCTGCCTACCACCAGGCCAGCCTCCTCTGGACTCTGCTCCCCTGCACAGGCGGCCACATCAAGAAGAGACCAAAGGACGGAACCGGGGCGGGGGTCAGGAGGGATGGGGGACTACGGACGGTGCAGACTCTTCCCAGCAAGTCGGGCCAACCCAAAGAGGATGGAGAAGGAAGAGAGACGGACAGAAGGACGGACTTGGGGAGGAAGTAGTGGGAGGAGGAGGGAGGAGAGCAGAAGAAAGACCAGAGAGAAAGAACACGGGCAGGCGTCCAGGCTGACTGGTACCTGGCACACCAGCTGCTACAGTTTACAGTGGGCTCCCCCAGGCCGGCTGATCGCAGGGGCTTGTCTGTCTGTCTGTCTGTCTGCAGCTCCCTGCGAGGCACACAGGTTGGGGTGGGGCGTGTGGCTCGGGCACACGGTTCAGAGGCCTGAGGTTTTGCTCCCAGCCTCCGGGACGCAGCCTCCAGAGAGGCTGGGGGGCCAGGTGGGGGCGGGAGGCGGCACTCACTAGGCTGCTAAGGGCAGGAGGGTGGGGACGGGAGCCTGGTGGTCCAGGGAAGTCAGGCCCCAGGGTCCTGCTTTCGAGGAGGAGAGGCCGAGGAAGAAAAGGAGGCTGGATACAAGGTCTCTGGGCCAACCCTGGAACCGCCCAAAGCCAGGCTCACGGGGACGTGGTGGGCTCTCCACTCCAGAAGGCCCCGGGGGACCACTCATGGGGACACACCACACATCCCCTGGCCACGTCCTCTTCCCCGGCCCCCGGATGGCCTCCTGAGAGCTCTGGGCTGGATAGGGAAGATCCCTCATGCCCCTGGCAGGGTACCTGGGCAGGTAAGCCACACCCCCCCCCACAGTGACCACTCCCTGCCGCTGCCAAGACCAGCGCTCCTCTCCCGAAGGGATGCTGCAGCGTGTCCCGACAAGCCCTGTCAGTCGGTGGATGGAAGGGCGAGGGCAGGGGAGGAAAGGGGAGGAAGATGACCAGGCGGCGGTGGGCAGGAGAGACGGCTCACACTCACCCTGCGGTAGGTAACGGTGGCGGGGGCGGCTCCGGTCTGAGCAGCTCCTCCCCCACCCTCCGAGGGGAAGGCGTCTGTCCAAACACATCCAAGTGGTCCACAGGCCCCGCGGGGCCTGGCGGAGGGGAGGGGTAGCCCGTGGCCAGAGTGGTGAAGCCCACGGTGGGCCGGTAGCTGGGGCTGCCGCTGCGGCTGCTCTGGGACGGGGAGCCCGTGGACGGCGTGGACTTGCGCGAGAAGCTGACGGCAGCCGGCGGCTGCAGGGCGGTCTCCGACACCTCGGCGGGCTGCAGGAGGCCGGGGCGCGGCCGGGCCCGCGCGGCGAGCTCGGGGGAGCTGGTGCGCGAGCCGAGGGGGCTCTGGGTCAGAGGCGAGAGCCGGGAGGGCTGTAGCACCACTTGATGTAAACTGGGCTCGGCGCGCCTGGCCTGCCGGGGGCTGGGCCGGGGCCGGGGCTGAGGCTCATACCACGGGGTGTCCAGGCCCAGCGCGCTGGGGCCGCCGTGCGCCCCCGGCTCGGCCGGCTCGGGGTAAGGCAACACGGGTATGCCCATGCCTTGGCTGGTGTGTCTCAGCTGCCCTTGGCTCACCAGAGGTTGCACAGGCCTGTCCTGCCACTTGGCGGCGGGGGGCACTGGGGCAGGGCCTCTGCTCGGCGCCTTGCCAGCCCAGCCCTTGGGCGCCTCCAAAGACAGGATGCCCGGGTAGGCTGCGGGCACCGGCAGGGAGGCGGGCGGCAGTCCTCGGGGGAGGCCGGCCGCAGGCTGCAGACTCTCAGCCACATCACACGGGTGCAGCTGGTGGGGGAACACCACGGCCGGGGTCTCCAATCCCCCAAAGGGGAACTCCGGCCGGCCCCAGGGCTCTGGGGAGCGCCCACCGGTGGGCGTCTGAGTCAAGGGCAGCGTGCTGTTGGAAGCGTTCTCTCCGTTCTCCTCGGGGATGGCGGGGTGGCCGAAAGGCCCCTCGGTGTGCAGAGGTGGCGAGGACATGACAGAGCTCAGGGGGCTGCCCACCTCCGGCATGTAGAAGGGCGGCGGCTCCACCTCCCCAGGGCTGCTGCTGCTGAGGTACCCGTAATACTGGCCGTGGTGGAAGGGCCGGGGAGCGGGCGGCCTGGCTTGGCCAGTGGCCTGGAGCCGGCCCTCCAGGCCGCCAGGGCCCTCCAGGCTGCGGGGCTGGAACCGAGGGCTGTATGCTGGTGGTGGCAGGTAGGACTCCTGGCTGGATGACAGAGGGGTCAGCTGGGACTTGAGGGCAGCCACAGACGTGGGCACCAGCGGGTCTTCATTCTCCTCATCCGACTGGCGGAACTCAGGGTACATGTCAGTCTCCTCTGCAAAGGGGAAGCCCTCAATGCGCCGAGCCTTCGCAGAGGGCTCCACCTCGGAGGGGTCCATCACAAAGCGGCCGTCGGGGCCCCTGCTGATGAGCTCGATGGGCGTGGTGGCCTCCGCCTCGGCCTCCGCCTTGGCCACGCTGTACTTCTTGCTGCTGATGGCCCTCTTGGTCTTCTTGTACAAGGACAGCTCCTTCTCCCGCACGGGGCTCAGCATCCTCTTGGCCGCCGGCTGGGCCTGGTCGTCGGAGGACTCGGACGGGGCACGGAGTGTGCGGATGCTCTCGGGGCTGACCTTGCCGGAGGACAAGCTGGGGACAGGGAGAGAGCAGGAGGCGTGAGGAAGCTCAGAGGACACTACTGCTTTCCGTTCTCCCTGCAAAGTACCACACGCGCCTAGGAGGACGCCAGTGAGGAGGAGGAATGCTGGCGGGTGGCGTGTGCCGGCGTGAAATACTCTGGCCGACTCTCAACTCTCAACTGTCCAGGCGTGCGCTGTCCACTTTCCAAATGGACACCTCGTTTCCCCGTTTATTCTGCCTGCTCCTATGTTTGCTACCTCTCTCCAGTCACACCTGCAACTTCACTCCCAGGTTGCTCAAGGAATGCAAGCTCATTTTAAGAGTAACTTAAGCAAGGCATATTAAGAAGATACATCTGTTAGGATGGAAAAAAAATCAAAGAAATGAACAGCTCATCTACCATTTTGGGTCATCTACACTACTGCTCCCCCTATTAGTACGGACAACTTAAAATTACCGTGCAGATCAATTAAGGGAAAACAGCTTAGAAACACTGTCATGGGGCTGAGCGAGCCCTCCACCCTCCACCCCAGATGGCCGTACCCTGTCTCTCTGGGGCTAGACCACTTACGGAGACTCCAGGCTCTTCCTGCAGTGCGTGATGGAGAGTGGAGGGTCTGGAGGGAGAAAGAGGGGAGCCCGCTGAGGCCTGACGCCACACAGCCCTCCCCAGCTGTCAGCAGGGCCCAGACCAAAGCCCCGCAGGGAAGCAGCACCCTAGCACCTGGCACGTCTGGGTCCCGGATCACGTGCCCCCACCGGGTCTGCCTCCACCCTCGTTTCGGTCCCAGCCGACTCTCCCACCATCAGAGCAAGTCCCATCGGCAGCTCTGCCCACGAGGTCCCAGTTTCCCTGTTTTCAAGGCGACACCTACCTTTCTTGCGCTTGAGCTTCCGCTTGCGCTGCCTGTTGACAAAGCAGGCGGCCAGGGTGCTGAACAGGATGGCCGCAGCCAGGAAGCATATGGTGGCCACGATTCCAGCCAGTACCGGCCGAGCCAGGCCATCGTCGGTCAGGTCCGGCTGCGGGAAGATGTCTGGGGGGATAGGGGGAGAGCACGGGTTAGACCCTCCCTCCCCAGGGCCCCAGGTGGTTCCCCACCTGTGTAGGACAGACATCACTAAGGCTCCGCCCTAAAAATGAAGAGGTGGCATGGCGGGAAGACGGAGAAGAGGGCGTTTACAGAGCCGAGGAATCACTACCTTGCTTGTGGAGAGGAAACACCATCTGTTATCTCTTCCCTGTGGGACGTCAGCTCTGTGATGGTCTGCGCTGGCCCAGCACCTTACCAGCCACCCTCACCTACCAGCACGCTCTACACGGAACCCATGACTAGCTGACTGGACACTGCAGGGGCCTAAGCGTCACGCGGGCATCGTGACTCCCACCAGCCTCCCTATAGGACCAGGGCCCAGAGGGTGAAACTGCAGCAGCAGCAGGGCTGTCGCTGCAGAACGCAGGTGCCCCTTTCTGACCATCACGGTGCAGGGGGTCAGCATGTCCTGGGCACCACAGGCACGTGCTGGCACGGATAGGGGCATCAAACAACGTCCTTGTTCTACAGGCAGAAGTGAGCCTCACTTGGTGCCCAGGTTCGCAGAGCTCAGAGTGACAGCCAAATCTGGACCAGTCCACTGCGTTACATGTCACCTGACAGTTGTGTTAATAAGTGCTGCTCTACAGGCTCATCAAAGGGGAAGCCTATGTATCTTGATACATTTAGCCAGAATCCATTGCCATGTCGATGACAGCGAGGGATTAAAACAATCCAGATCATGCTGACTGGTTGAGTAGAAAATGAGGGCTCAGCCTTTGGAAGTGGGAGGCTTCAAGACAGGGAACGCCAAGGGAGCTGCATTCTTGTTTACCACGGGAACCTCCCGACTGCCGGGAACGAGACATAAAGCCACCGAATGCAGAACAGTTCGTGAGAGGCACCCCCAAACCCTCAAGTCCTCTCTTCTAGCTTGGCTGCAGCTCTCTTCCCTGGAGGGAAGCCAAGACAGAAGTACGCTCGTCTCTGCTGCTACAGCAGGCACCTCCGTGCAGAGAAAAACAGCCCCACAGTGCCTAGTATACGCAACAGAAGTCACAGCCGCTCCCCCCGGGCTTTCTCGCCCGCCCACCCCCTGCCCTCCCCGCTGCCCCCATATCTCTACCAGGCCCGAGCACGAGCTTCTTGGCCCAGCTCTTGCCCACTGCCTCCGAGGGTCTCTGCAAGCACTGCCCGAGGACGTGAGCCACTGCTGGATCACTAAGCAAAAACCTCTTCCCAGACCAAGTGAACCACTTCTGGGAGAGGGACCTGCTACATGTGAGGGAGTGTAGCTGGAGAAAGATGTATAGAAATGGGACCAGAGCCAAGAGAAAGAAAGATAAATGGAGAAAATGCTGGGGAGTTGGCTTTATTTAGCCTGAAAATATCTACGGAGAGGAAGGAATGGAGGAAAACAACACCAAACAGCAATTTTCCAAATGAAACACCCTAATTATGAAGCCGTCTTAACGAGAGGCGTCAGTAAGTACTGCTGACCTGTTTCTGTCTCTTTGCTCCAATTCGCCCCCCACCCCCAAGAGGATGACACCAGAGGAACAGAAATGTTATAGCAAAAGGGCTTAAGTCCTTTTCGACTATTCTAACAAGAACCTTAACTGGATTTCTCTCTGTGGTTACCTCATAGAAACGGTCATGAACGCAGCTCTTTAGATGGAGAAATCCTACCCACCTGGCAGGCTTCAGCTGGTGCTTTCGCTCTACTTCCAGCTCAACCTCTTCCCATAAGACCTGTTCCACAGACGCCACCCCGCCCCCAAGTACCTGTGCTGGAGACGCCGGCGATGTTGCTGGGCTCGCTGATCAGATCCTGCATGACAGCCAGGACCCGGAACTCGTACCACGTGTCCTACAGCCCCAGGGAGGACACCCTGTCGTCAGCCAAGTGACCTGGACCTGCGACAGCCGCCCATCCTCCCCCCACCCCAGCTCTGCGACTCGGGAGTATCTGCCGATTTCCATGGGATGAATACTCCCACCGTGGCCGATTTCAAGCTACCAACATGAGGTCACTGAAAGCAGAGTTGGGCAGAGATGCCACATGGGCTCTCAGGAGTGCAGGGAAGGGAGAGGGAACATAGATGGGACGGTGGGCATCTGAGAAATAAGCTGCTGCCTCTCCAACTAGAGAGACCTCCCGGTTTAAGGGGAGTCAGCTGGAGAAAAGTACCGTCTTCTCCTCCAGGGGCTCGGAATTGTTAAAGAAGGGACCCTACTCTGGGCAAGTGGAAGACAACCCTTCTGGGAAGCCTCTACCCACGTCAGACTCCCGCAGGGAGCTGGGCCCCCAGCCCACCCTGGCTTGTGTCGGCACCTGGAGACCCCTCAAGCGAGAACAGCACTCCCGGCGGCCACAGGGCAGGCCCTGAACCTGCCAACCTCAGCTGCAGTGATCTGAGGATCCCAAACCTGGCAAGAGACCCACGAGCACAGGAGTGCAGGTGTGGGATGGTACGCAGCGGCCCACACACGCCTGAGCTGGGTCACTCAAAGCTTCCAGTGATTCTAGGAAGAGTCACGTCACTTCCGGAATTGATAAAAGCAGCAGGGAAGACGCTAGGCACCTCACCTGGGACAGGTCCCTGGCAAAGAAGTCCCCGTCAGTGCCAGGTATGGCGTCATCCAGCGTCTCCCAGCGCTCTCCGACGCGGAACTCCAGGACGTAGCGGTCGATGGGGAAGCTGTGGTTGGCAGGTGGGAGCCAGGACAGGAGCACACCCTGCTGGGTCCGGTTGGCTGTGAGGCACCTCGGTGGGGTAACCAGCACCAGGGGTTCTGGAGTTGTGACAGGGAATGCTGCGGGAGAGGGAGAGGTGATGGCGGGGGTGCCGAGGCCGCTGCAACCCCTCTACCCACACGTCCCTGTGGGGGCAGTGACCCCAGGGCGATGAGGGCCACATCCCCAGGGTGCAGGCATCAATTCAGGACACGTGTCCCATGAAGAGCCCTCGTGACCCAAGGGAAGGGGGCAGGGTGGGTGGGCCCGAGCCTCCTGACTCCATTTCCAGAGCACTTCTGACGACACACACAAGGGCATCAGGTCCCGTGAAAGGAAAAGAGTCAGGACTTCAGGGAAGAAGGAAATGTAATTATCTTTTGAATAAGACAGTATCTTTGAAAAGATACTACAGGGACTTTATAGGGACTTCCCTGGCGGTCCAGTGGTTAAGACTTCGCTTTCCAATGCAGGGGGTGTGGGTTCGATCAGGTCAGGAAGCTAAGATCCCACATACCTCAGGGCCAAAAAACCAAAACATAAAAAACAGAAGCGGGCTTCCCCGGTGGCGCAGTGGTTGGGAGTCCGCCTGCCGATGCAGGGGACGCGGGTTCGTGCCCCGGTCCGGGAAGATCCCACATGCCGCGGAGCGGCTGGGCCCATGAGCCATGGCCGCTGAGCCTGCGCATCCAGAGCCTGTGCTCCGCGACGGGAGAGGCCATAGCAGTGAGAGGCCCGCGTACCGCAAAAAAAAAAAACCAGAAGCAATAGTGTAACAAATTCAACAAAGACTTTAAAAATGGTCCACATCAAATATATCTTAAAAAAGAAAAAAAGATACTACAAAACGTATCTTTCATTCTCTTCCAAGGAAGAAGGAACATCTTCCCTCAGCACTGCTCACTCCATCCGTTCCCCTCTGGCCCAGGTGGAAAAACAGGCCCCAGGGCACAGGGCTTCGGGGCGGGGTGAGCCTCGGCAAGAAAGAATGTGGGAGAAGGCTGGCGTGGGGCCGCCTGGTCACAGCCGACTTCTCTGGCCGCAGACAGGGGCCAAATGCAACAGCAGGCGGGCGGGGTGAGCCGCTGGCTCAGGGAGGAAGAGGCGGCCCTATGCCTGCCACCAGACGAGGCCGGGGGCCAGAGGAAGGGAGCAGCGGGAGTGCAAAAGGAGGAGGAAGGACCCCCACCACCCCGGGAGGCCACAAAAAGATGCAAACACGGGGCCAGCAAGGAACGATGGAACTGAAGCTCTTCCATCCATCTGAGGACACGTCAGGGCAGCCCACAGTGCTCAGACGGGGCTCGAGGCACCCTGGCCCGGACAGACCCCGCGGGACGGTAGGATAGACCCTTACTGGGAGGTCAGTGTTGGTTGTATAAGGCACTTAGCAAGGCGCCCGCATACAATGGGCAGGAAATGTCTGCTCTCCATCCCAGCCCCTCCAGGAGCATCCCGGCCCGGCCTCACCTAAAGTGTTCACAGTGACCACCTCACTGAAGGCGCTGGTGCCCAGCTTGTTCTGGGCCAGGACACTGAACTGGTATGCTGTCTCGGGCTCCAGGGCATCCACCAGCAGCCAGCTGGGTCCCGGAGGCACAGGCAGGGACAGCCAGTCGTGGGGCCCAAACCGTGCCCGCTTCATCCTGCCCGAGAGAGAGAGGATCGGGGACAAGGGCGCGGGGTGGGTTACACTGGAGACTCGAGAGGGCACACAGGTGCTGGAGTTGGGGGCGCTGCCCCAGCCTCCCCAGCTTAGAGGTCAGGAGCAGGTCACAACCCCCCAGCTGTGGCTGTGCCGGTCCCCATGAAGCCAGGTCCCCAGCCACTACTGGCGCCTATTCTCTGAAAAGGGACCCTTGGCGTTACTGATGCTCGAGATACTGGTCAAATTACCAATTGCATTCTGGGAGAATCTCACCCTGGTCAGAGCCCTAAGAGTGGCGCAGCCCTGGGAGTGAGGACGCTGGGAACAAGGCAGGTACCAAAGTGGGAAAGTGGGGATGAGCAGGACCGGGGGAGGCCGGGTGCCCTTGGCCACCCGGCCTCCCAGGGACAGCCAAAGTGGGACCTGCGTGACCCCGAGGGCTCAGTCTGTCCAAGTGGGCTCGAGTCACTGAGGAGGAGCTGGGCGCAGGGCAGAAATAATCAGTGCTTCCCCACAATGGGGACCAGGACCCACCCCTACGGCTTCTGGGTTAGAGGTCACCAAGGAAGGCCGCGCTGTGGCTACAGAACACTGGAACCAGGGGTGAGGGTCGACCCTTGCTCTGCAGCCCACTTGACTCCCTGCAAGCCATGAAGCCGGCGCCCAGGCGCAGCGCCCGGCGCCACCACGGGGAGGACACATCGTCCCGTGGGATTGGCCGCACAGTCCCTCAGCAGCCTGAGGACCCCCGTGGAGGCCAGGCCCCTGCAGGTTAAGGGCTCACGCCTCACAGCTCAAGCCTCTGCCCGGGAATCGGAGCGGATGCAGCCGAAAGCACAGCAGAGAGAAACCAGCGCTGGAAGGAGTCCTCCCCAGCCCCGTGATCGCCCTTCCCCCGCCGGCACCACAGCAGGCAGCAGAGTGACAAAGCGAAGCAGAGCCGCAGGCAGCGAGGGAACCAGTCCATGCCCAGACCTTCAGCTCGGGCCTCCCCAAAGGCGGCCACACGCCCTGCCCTGGCCACGCAGCCGCCTGGCAGCGTCCCACCTGCCCTGGGGAACAAGTGGGGATGGGAGGGGGCTCCGCTTCAACTCTGAGCCCCCCAAGCTCACCACCTAGGTCCAGGGGGCATCCAGAGCTCAGAACACCTAGGTAATCAGAGGCTGGGAAGCAGGCCAGGTCCCTCTGACTCCCTGCTGCTGAGAAGTATACGGAGGCCTCTCCCTGAATCTCCAGGCGCCCCCGACTGTGCTTCCTCCTCCCCCAACCCAACCTGGTGAGCCTGGCTGGGGCTACACACCCAGATGAGACAGGTCTGGAAAGGAGGAGGTGAGGGCTCACCCTCCCGACTCGAGGATGTCACCCATGATGCAGGTGGCCAGTGCTTGGCTCAGGAGAGGGATGTGGGGAGAGAAAATCCTGAGGGGAGGGGTGGACCTCGGCCGAGGCCTCTCTTCCCAGCTTTTCTACACCTCCTGTCCTCAGCCTGCTTCATGCGTTATTAAGATGTCTGTCTGCCCCGAGGTTTGGGAAAGATCTCAAATCTCTGCACTTCGCTAAGTGAATGTATAACCAGGTACAAAGACGACAGACACACAGTCCTAGAGAGAAAATGCACGTGTGCAGAAAAGGCCAGGAAGGTGAGCGCCGCTTCACGCTGGGTTTCTGGAACCACTGGTGCAGGGTCAGAATAAAAGATCTATGCTTGTGGCTGGCTGTCTTACGATGCCCTTGAACATCAGGACTCTCTTCCAGGCTCCAGAGAACAGAGCAAGCTGGAGGAGCGAGCCAAGGACAGGGAGGGGCCGTGAGATCAGCTGGGGACGCGCAGCACGGGGTGACGGACCATCCAGGCCCCAGCCCCGCCGTCATCCCAGACACCCCACCCCCCTGGAGCCTGGTCACCGGGCGACACACCCCACCATCCCGAGGGAGGCAGGGCAGGTGGAGAGCCACACCCTTCTCATAACCTGCCCCCTGACCCCAGGGACTGATGAGGGGTGGGGGTGGGGGGATAAGCAGAGAGCAAGGCGTGCGGGGGTGACTCACAGAGGTCCGTACCAAACAGAGAATGTCTGCTCAAATCCTCCATCGTAGCCTGGCTCCCAGGACACGTTGGCAGTTGTCATGGAGACCTGGACCCGGACACTGCCCGGGGCATGGGGGCTGGTGCCTGCAGGCCAAGCAGACACCTCAGGCGGGAGGAACTGAGCCCGCGGAGCCGGGCTGGCTGTGACCTCGTGCACCTGGCAAAAGTGGTGCCCCGGGGGAGACGTGGGGACAAGGACGCTCCGAGGAGCTGCGCCCAGCCCTGCTGGGTCATGGGGCTGGAGGAGGAAAACCGTCCCGCGGGCAGGCTCGTCCTTCCAGCAGGAGATGCGTGAGCATCAGGAATAAGGGCCGGAGGGAAACCAGCCCCTGGTCATCAGCCCCGACCAGGCCCGCGCTCGTCTGGAGAGCGTCAAGTGCAGCCGACGGCCACAGGCGAAGCCCAGAGGCCCCCCGTCGCACGCAGCTCTCTGGCCTGAGACCCAAACGCCAACGTGAGAGCCGCCCACCAGCCCGGCATGGCAGTCAACACCTCCGGCAGGAGCTCGGGCCCTGGGCCTACCACTCAGTGCAGTGACGCCCAGCAGGGCGTCCCCCCCAGACCAGCCTCGGTTTCAATGAGCGAGTGTGGGGGGAACACCAGTTCCCACTTCACACACGTGTGTGACAAGGCACCACTAGGTGCTGAGCCTAAAGCTGGTGGTAAATGCTCAAAAAGCACTGGCTGTTGTCACGACTGTGGCTGTCTGTCCCCAGAGGGGCAGGGAAAACATGCAGGCCGAGGCCCCGGGGACGAGGTCTCAGGCAGAGGAAGCGGGCACACGTGCCCGGAGCCCCAGGTCAGGGGACACCTGTGCCAGGCCCAGCCCGGACCTGGGGGCAGACAGCCCCGCACCCAGAGCCCGGCCCACCTTCCCACACCCCATACCGACGACAGTCAGGTGGGTGCTGGCAGTGATGCTGGTGACCACATTGGTGGCGCTGCACTCCCACTGCCCGTGGTCCTCCTTACTCAGGGCGCGGAACTGCAGGCTCCCGCCGGGCAGGGCACTGTGCTTGCTTCTGCTGGGCTTCCCTACCTTGGCCAAACACGGGGGCGGGGAGGAGGGCGGGAGGAGGGGCAGGGAAGAAGAGAAGCCACCAACACTCAGGGGTCCAAGAAGGACAGGGGCGGCACCGGGCCCCAGCCCGCAGCCCTCCCTGCCCGCCGCCCCCACCCCCCGCGCCAGGAGTCACCGTCGCTACTCGGCCCCCGCCCCGTTGGAACAGCGCCGTTCCCAGGCCGTGCCCCTACCGCACTCCCCGGGAGCCCCGGAGCCCAGAGGTACCTTCCTCCACGTGATGACAGGGAAGGGGTCCCCGGCGGCAGCGCAGGGGATGAGCAGCTCCCGGCCGGCCTCTTGCCTATACTCCCAGCCTGGTAGCACCGTAAAGTACGGGGGGTCCTAGGAGAGCACGGCGAGGCCGTGACGTCGGGCATTTCAGGCGCCCACCGCCCGCATGGAGGCGGCCCGCAGCCCCGGCCTCACCTTCAGGACGAGCCTCGCGGGGGAGGACTGGCCCATGGTCCCCAGGGTGTTGTAAGGCACACAGGTGTAAGTGCCAAGAGCCTCCTCTGTGGCCTCCTCGATTCGGATGGAGCCGTCCTCCATCAGGGTCCAGCCCAGGTTCTGCTGGGGCACAGACAGCGCAGGGGAGCTGGGGTCAGGAGCCGGTGCTCGGCCCAGGCCCCTCAGCTGGACCTGAGCTGCTCCTCCGTGTGCAGGCTGGAGGTGGGGGGGTGCGTCTCGCGATGCGAGAACGGCCAGGCCCTGCTGGACTCGGCCCACGGGAAACAGCTCTTTGCTCTCCCCAAATCCTGGGGGGAGGGGAGGGGCCCTGGCAGGAACCAGATCCCCAGAGGTAGCACCTCAGGGCCGGGGGCCTCCCGCGACCGGCACACGGCCCTCCGGCACCTTCTCAACCTGCAGGGGGCGGCCGTCCTTGTTCCACTTGACCACGGTGGCCGGTGGCTCTGCGTCCACAGGGCAGCGGATGTAGCCATGAATTCCCACAGGCACATAGATCACGGGGGGCATGTTGAGGACGCGGGCTGGGTCTGCAGGGCCGCGGGTGTGGGGAGGGAAGCAGAGGTGAGAAGACAGGCGGGGGGGGCGAGCCACCCCGCAGCCCAGGGCCCCCCACTCGGCGCAGTGCCAGGTGTCGGCCCAGCGGGGGCCACGAGATGGCAAAGCCCACTCCCCGGGCTGACCGCCCAGAGGCCACAGCAACCGTCCTGTCTGTGCAGCCCTGCATCCTTAAGAACACCCGTCTGAATGCACGGAGGCACCGCTGCTCCTGCCGGCCTGCAGCTCCCCCCACACACCTCCGCCCGGAGACGCAACAGCCGCCGGGACGCATAAGATAGCAGCATCCCTCCCGAGTGTCTGCGGGACCCCAAGCCCTTCCTCGCCCCACGTCCTCTGCGGACGGTGACCAGGGGCGGAACCACAAGGCTGCTTTTCTGCCCTGCCTCGGTTTCCCATCTGTGCAGGTGGGGTGCAGAGTCAGCCACGGAGCCGCTGGAAGTATCTCGGGACAGCAGGAGCAGCAGCTCTGTGACGTGGGTGAGCCGCCCCCCGCGAGGCTCCCGGGCTCCCACGAGGGCCATGGAGGAGAAGGACCCAGAACTGCCCGGGAGGCGGTGAGGATTAATGGGCGGCTCTGTTAGCGTCTGGAGCCCTTCAGAGAAGAGCATTGCATAAATACCAGGCCAAAGTATATATTTAGACATGGCTTCCTACTTTTGTATGGTAGATTTTTTTTTTCTCCTCCAAGGTTTTCAAAGGGTTTATGAATGGGAAATACTCTGAACACTGCTTTTTAGCAGAAATAAAGATCCTTGTCTCACCCACCTGAAAATCTCACCCAACAGGTTCTCTTTGAAGGCAGGAAAGAGGTAAAAAACGACAAGAGGGAGTGGGTGATGGTGCCAGAGGGAGACAGGGAAACGCTTCCCTCAGCAGACACGGCCACAGCCTGGAGGATGGGAGCCTTGGTCCTGGTGGATCATCGTCCTTTGGAGACCACCCCTTCCGGCCCTCTCCCTCCGCCACTGCCCCCTCCATGCCCGGGTGACACAGGCAGAGAGGTTCTGCTCCGCAAGGAGCCTGCCCCGCCCTTGGCACCTTCACAGCCTGGGCACACAGTAAGTAACTTGTCAGAGCTTTTTCTCTCCTGCGTGGGACAGGCCTGGGGTTCTGAGTCACACAGCTTTCCTTAGGCCTCACAGCTCTTAAGAACTCGGGACGCATAAGACAGCAGCTGAAAGTCGTCCTCGGCTGTGGACAGCGGAGAGGAGGCCTCTGCCCGCACCAGCAGCATCACCACGTGAGGGCGTGAGGTCGGGACTCGGGGGGCCCACTGCCAGGCCCATGCTCAGCCCGCCTCCCGGGGTCACCAGCTGTTCTAATGTCCTCAGCTCAGATGCCACCTCTGGGCCACGCCTCTCCAGGTGGTCATACTCTCGCCTGCCCCTCCGTGTTGTGGGAGGGAGTGGTTCTTGCACACGAGCCCTTGTGTGATGGATAGCCTGTCACCTACCACGTCAAGAGGGGCCTTTATTGTCAAAGTGACGGAGCCATCCTCCAATCAGGAGGAAGAGATTAGCCCTCGGCACTCATCCTCTCCCCCACTCGAGACCAGCAAGCTGAATGACGCTGCACAAAAGCCCTCGGTCGTTCCGGCCCAAGAGCAGCCCCTTCCCCTGGGTCTCGGGCAGCCCTGGAAGGCGCGGCAGGGAAGCCACCAGGGGCCCGCTGCTGGGGAAGCGGATTAGTCACCCCAGAGGGGATCTGTCCCCCTTGCCCACCCAGCAGGGGAGCAGAGAGCGGCAGGAGAGCTGCCCCACTGGGTCTGAGCCACATGGCCCTCAGATACTAAGACAAAAACACCTCGTTCAAGGTGCGGACAGAGGAGCTGGCCAGCGCCGGCACGAGGACGGCGTCCAGAAGGCCTGCCTGTCCCTGAGCCCAACCGGGGCGAGGCTGACGGAATGGATTAGTGGACACGGGCGGCCGTGCGGCCCGGAGAAGAGCCTGGCGGGGGCTCGATTCACCTCCGCTGGCCAGCCCGGGTCAGGCCTCCTCCCGCGCTGTCCCGTCCCCGCCTCGGCCCCTCCTCCGCCCACATTGCCTCCACGCAGCCCTCCAGCCCCCCATGTGGCCAGCGTGGCCTGAGCCTGCCCCACTCACACTGCACGGTCAGGTACGCCGAGGCCGAGGGCGAGCGTCCCAGGCTGTTGCTGGGGACGCAGGTATACTTCCCCGCGTCCTCAGGCTTCACCCGGAAGATAATCAGGGTCCCGTCGATCAGGATCCGCACCCTCAGCTTCAGATCACTGCAGGGACACAGAACACAGGACACAATGGCGGGGGGCAGGCGTCTTCCATTCAACACTGGGACAACATGCCAGCGAGTCCTCCGCACGGCTGAGGAGGGGGACAGGCGCCGTCTGCACACACACCGGCCTCAGCATGAGGGACACATGGACCGGATGCCCCCAACCCCTGCCAGCTCCCAGAGCCCAAGGGCAGCCCCTGCTCAGAAGCTTTACCCCGAGGGGGCCTGGCTGGGCCCCAAGGGAAGGGCGGGCACTCACTTCTGGAAGTAGACATTCTCGTCCTGCCAGTACCAGGTGTAGGTAAGGTTGCCGGGATAGGCCTCTGCCCGGCAGGTGAGCAGAGCATCCTGGGATATGTTGACAGTGATGTTCTCAGGAGGGGAGACGATGAAGGGAGGTCCTGGGGGGACAGGAACAAGCATGACCTCTCCTGGCGGGGGGGTTTGGGGGGGACCACAGCGCTGGGCTCCCAGGAGGCTCCGACCCTCAGGAAGGGGCACCCCAAGCCCTGGAAGGGACAGCGGGGAAGGCACTGGTCCAGGAGCTGGCAGCGCAGCCAAGCAGTTGTCATGGAGACGCATCCAGCTGCTGCCTGTGCTCAGGTTCTTCCTCTCCCTGCAAGTCCCGGGTATACAAGGGGCCCGGAGGTGTGGCCGTGTGCTCCCAGCCTGCTGTAGACGCCCGCCCCACGCACAGCCCCGCTGTAAACCTGGCTTCCGAACAGCCAGTTAACCCCTACACAGGCACGCACACACGCGCGCCCGCACACGTGCACACTCACACACACACACACGCACACGGCCCTCCCTGCCCCTCCTTCTCTGCAGTGGAGCCCAGGGCAGCACATGTGCAGCAAGGAGAAAGGGACCGCCTTGCCTCTGGAGGAGTAAGAGGCTGTGGGCTGACCAGATAAGGGTGGCAGGCGGGTTGGGGCAGGGGAGGAGAGGGGTGGAGCTCCAGCAGCCCCGGCAGTGCGAGCCTTCCAGACAGGCCCGAGTCACAGAAGCAGCGCACAGCCGCCACCCGACCCCTCGAGCAGGACGGAGGCTGCCCCCTCTGGGGGCTTCGAGGCCCCAGGCAAGGCAGACCGGCATCTCAGGTGCTGACCCCACAGACGCCAGCCCCACCAAATGCCCTCCGTGTTATTTAACCCTCTGGGGTTGGACGGAATTCCTATCTTTATTTACTGATGCCATCGTCAGAGGGTGGAGGCCTGAGAGAGGGCTCCTCCCCCAGGGAAGGAGGAGGCCCAGCGGGATGCCCTCCGGACATTCAGAGAAAGCAGAAACCCACTCGGCATGGCGCCTCCCGCCACCTCACGGGAGGGCCGCCGCAGGCCACCAAGGAGCCCCACGATATGGAGAGGAGCTCCCACCACCCCCAGCTGAGCCACCCACGCCCTGGAAAGAACCCCCCAAGCTCAGTGGGGCCGGAACTCCCTGCCAGAGGCCCAGGGCATAGAGGCCAGATCGCTCTCACCTTGGACGAGCAGGTGGGTGGTGTGGATGGCCTCCCCCTGGATGCTGTACGCGCGACAGGTGTAGGCACCTCTGTCCTCCCGACTGACCGAAGTCACCGTCAGGCTGCCGTCACTCACCTGTGGCCGAGGAGAGTCGGGCTCAGCTCCCAGCCCTGGGCCCGCCAACTCCATCCCAGGTGGAAGTGGCCTGGGGCCCATGCACCTGGGGACACGGAAGCAGGCTTCTCCCTCTGAGGATACGGGTGCCAGCCGCTCTGCCTGCCGCCTCCAGCCCCACCTGCGCCTCCGCAAGTGTGAACTGTCACGGGGACGGAGGCGCAGGGCAAGGAGAAGTGGGTGCAGCGGTCGCGGCAGACCCACACTCACCTGGTACTTGCCGCTGGCACCTAGCAGCATCCCCTCCTTCAGCCAGGTGACGATGGGCTTAGGGTTCCCAAAAGCTGTGCAGGTCATGGTGATGCTGCTGCCCTCCTTGGCCTCGATGTACTGGGGGGGTGTTTCTGTAAAGGTGGGAGGAGCTGCAAGAAACCCAAGGTGCGGGGTGGGGTCAGCCAGCGGCCCTGCACACAGCGAGGGCCCTGCGCTGGGCCACCCCACGAGGCCGGCGCCCTCCAGGAGGTCGGAGGTGACACAGGTGACAGGCCCTGCCTTGTGAGGGGGGACCTGGAACTCAGAGTCAGTGTGGCTGGATCCCAAGTCTAAACTTTCCCCATTGCATACACCTAATTCCCAATAAAGGACTGTTTGTCCAGCACCCACAGGGAGGCCCCCCATGCTCAGCACCAGGGATGCGGCAATGAGGCACCCGTCACCCCACGATCGTCCAGACACCCCTCCTTCTGTAACCCCAGCCCAACCAGGCCCACGGCTCTGGGACATTTGCCATCTGAGCCCTGTCAGGCCTAGCACGGATCTCAAGCCAGGTGACAAAGACTCGCCCAGGCTCTGCAGCGACAATCCCCCACCTTCCCCGCAGCTGCCTTGGGGACCAGGCAGACGGCCCGATCCACGGGCTACTCGCTCCTGAATTCTCGAAGACTGTGCCAGACTGTCCCCCAGCACCTGCCTCGGAGTTCTGACTAAAATCCCATCCGGTACAAATAACACACTCTGTCTCACCTGTCTGAGCTGCCTATAGAAGCCACCTGATCAACCCCAACTCCCTGGACGATCATGCGGGGTCTTCTGGAGTGGGGGGCACTGCTGACACCAGCCTAGGGTCCACAGCACCGGGCTCAAGGCTCCAAGTTCAAATCCAGCTGCCACTCGCTCTGTAACCCTGGGCTCAGCCGCTCTGGGCTCTACCTAAACCCCACCCTCAAGACCAGTGGCAGGAATTAGCGAGGTAAAGTCCGTGAAAGGAGCTGGTAAAACGTACACATGTGAAATGGTGGTCATTCTGTCATCACTGTCATCGCTGTCGGCCGCCCAGGGCTCCTGAGGCCCCGACGAGAAGCTGTGAGAGGGGGCTCCTCGGAGGCTGCCCTGCCCCAGGCCCAGGACACGCTGGGGGTCGCGGCCACCCACCACCTGCCACCAGCCTCACCTCCCGTTGCACACCCCTCAACTCTGCTCCGACACAACAGCCTTCCCGTCTTCCTACACGTGCCAAGGACTTCCATTCCTGGGGGCTCTGCGTCGGCCATCCCCCCTCCTGGGCTGTACCCACATCTCACCCTTTCGGCGCCTGCTCGCCTTTGCTAAAATGCCACCTCTGCCTCACCTGGTCAGCTGGTCTAGGAAGGCACCTGCTGCATTCCTGTCTCCTCAGACTGTTTAAAGCACTTACGACCAAGTCTCCTGAGAGCAGAGATTTCCAAGAATCCCACTATGTGCCCAGCTTTTAGCGCAGTTCCTGGCATGTAGTAGAGTCTCAACAAACGTTGGTTGAACAGACGGATGAATGCAATGAAGGAGCCACACACCTGCACGCATGCGCGCACACACACACACAATAGAGCAACACAAATGCAAACACAAAACCGAAGATAAGACCATGGCGAGACGGCTTTCTTCGACGATCTCCCCACCCCTCCGCTGAGTGTGGCCGCACAGGGGGCACAGGAGTGAGGACTGGGTGACCAGGAAGCAGGCTTCACCACTCACGACACATCCTTGAGAAAGTCCATCCTCACCCAACGTCTAATACACCAAAAGTGATGGTAAAACTCATTCCAAGTCCTTGCAGAGGGAACCTGGCATCCGAACCCCAGGCCCCTCCTGGCCTGGCCGTGCGCTCACCCCAGCAGAGCCCTCCCGCCACGCCTGCCCTTGAACTCCAGCTCACACAGCCATGGCCTCTGTTACCTCTGAGTCACACTTAAAGAAAAGATAATATGATAAATTACATCCTGAAGTGACAAATTAATTACTAATTACATAATTACTTTACTATTTAGGTGCTAATCAGGAAAGCACTTTGAACAATTTCGAGTTTTCCGGAAAATAATGGTTTGACTCCCGATTATTTACTGGATTAGGTGTGAGCTTACCAGCTGCATTTCTAGGCTTAATTCTTCTTTACAAATGCCCTATAATTAATCGTGCACATTAGAAATAGGCTGGCCTCTCCTCCAAGCAATTCATCGACCTAAAGCAAGGTTTTACTCTGGCTTTCCAGGCATTTTATATGCAATAAAGAAACAATTGGGCTTGTTTCCTCCCAAATGGTCTTCGAGAAAACACAGGAGGAGAATAAGACAATCTGTGATTCTAATTTTTCACTTTCCAAAGGTGATCCCAGTCAGAAATGCCTGACATTAAATATTCTAGTTTGGAAGCAATGGAATGTTGGTGCTCCAAACTCTTTCCTTCGATAATGGAAGTATTTACACGGGAAGGAACCTCAGAATGCAGGAGGAAGAAAGGGTGAGATCGCTCACGTTGGGAGGTGCCTGTGGTGTCCACCCTTGGAGAGGGAGGCCGCTGGTGAGGGGAAGCATCGGATGATAAGCCCCAGTGCTAAAGCCTGACCCTTCCGGACGAACAGCCTGCCAGGTTGCCTAAGTGCGCCGGCTCTCCTTCCTCTGGGCCTCCAGGCATGCTGTTCCCTCTGCCCTGGAACACCCTTCCCGCCTCCTGCCCCCGCACCTGGCAGACTCCTCCTCCCCGAAGGGTCTCTGCCCAGGGCTCACTGCCTCAGAGAAGCCCTCCATCCCTCACGCTCCCAAAGCCCATACTGCAATCCTCTCTGGACCTGACTGCCTCGTGACGTGTCCTTCAGAGCTGGGTCTGTGTCACACCCACTGCATTTCCCCACAGCCGGCCAAGTGGATGTTCAGAAATGTGTGTTGAATGGGTGATTGTGGGTGTATTCCCAAGGGCTCTCCGACCACCACAGGCCACCTCTCCCAACCTGAGGCGCCTCCTGTGCTACCCGACTTCATCTTTTTCTCCCCTAAAGAGGAGGATAACCAGCATTCTGCACACAATGACCCTGCGCAGCCAACCTTCCAGGCGCAGTGCCAGACGTCTTCACCCACAGCGTTTCCCTTAATCTTCACAACAGCCCTACAAACAGGCTTTGTTCTTGGAAACACAAAAGGGAAGCTCAGAGAAATGATATGGGTGCCAGGGATCAGACAGCTAACGTGGTGGATCCGTGAAATAAGCTGAGTCTCATCGGGCCGCGTTCCATGCCGGTCCATCCCAGCAATGAGGAATTCCCAGCCACGAACTCCCCCTGGTACAGACGGAGCCCGAGCTCTAACAGGACACACGACTCTAACAGGAGGAAGCTCTACGTCCCGGCTCGCAGTGTCTGCGCATGCCTGCTTCTCTGCTCGCTGGACCGGACCCAGCAGTGATGTGAGGGGAGGAGGTGGGGCTGCAGGAGGCGTCGGCCCGCCTCGGGAAAGGGCAGAAGAAAGCAAGCAGCGTGGGGCTCTTGGCTCGGTGCTCATCAGTGACGCTGTCAGCAGCAGGTTTACCTTCCTAATTATGTTCTGCTTGGGCTAATATTAAGCCGAGTTTTCATTCTGGGCACACACAACAGCTGGCATCGAAAAGGGATGACTCAAAAACTCGCGGGTGGTGGGGACAGCCCAACCAAGATTTAAAATAAGCCTCCAATTGGTCTCTGGGGACTGACCAGCAGGTGCGCCTGCATCCAGGGGCTCAGGCAGCCTGGACCACTGACCCAGGGCCACCGTCCCTAAGTTCGCTTTCCAGAGACCAGTGCTCTGGCTAAAATACTCTGTTCTTCCAGGGCCCTGGATGGGTTTTCAAGGCGGAAGGAGCACAGCCTGACCCGACCCCACAAGGCAGGGACCCTCAAGGCTCAGAGAAACTTGCAACCCAGGCAAGCGCCCATTGCTCTCTCCAGACCGTGGCACCCAGGGTCACAGACATCACACCCAGAAAGACGCAAGCAGTGGGGGGCGTGTCCAAAGCACACCTGTTGACACCTCAATAACCAGTGCAGCGTCTGCAACACGCGGTGGCTGAACACGTCGGCTCATAAACTGAAGCAAGAGTAACTGTATGGTCAGAAAAACAAATCAAAGGGCTTTCCTGGTGGCGCAGTGGTTGAGAGTCCGCCTGCCGATGCAGGGGACACGGGTTCCTGCCCCGGTCCGGGAAGATCCCACATGCCGCGGAGCGGCTGGGCCCGTGAGCCGTGGCCGCTGAACCTGCGTGTCCGGAGCCTGTGCTCCGCAACGGGAGAGGCCACAGCAGTGAGAGGCCTGCGTACCACAAAAAAAAAAAAAAATCAAAGCAAAAACCCTGCTCCCCTCCACCGTGGGGACCACTTCTTCCACTTTCTGCCGGTTCCAGCGCCCCCTGGCTCCTCCGGAATGTCCCCTCCCAAGCAAGGGCTCCCAAGGGCACAGGGGACCCTCGGTCCAGGGAAACCCCAGCCCCTGGGAAGCACGGCACAGCACGAGGCCCGTCACCCTTCACCTGGGCAGTAAGTACCAGAAGGTACCCTCCGGAACGGGACCAGCAGGATCCCCGCCCGGCCCTGGGTGCGCTCTGCTGCTGCGGATCATCCAGCGTAGAGACTGGCGCCCAACGGTTACTAAGGTGAACGGTCTAAAGGAAGAGGCTGTAACGGGAAGGTGCCCGGAGAGAGCCTTCCTGCGGCTGCTCCCAAGTCCGCCCCGCAGATCCTCAACCCTACCAGTTTCGGGTGCCGGTTTCCACCTCCCTGCGCTGGGCTCTGACGACCCCGCCCGCGGCAAACGCCCTGGTGCTGGGAGCTGCCAGGCCTCTGTGCCCATGGCCCCCAGGGGCTCCAGGACGAGCGAGGGGGCCTGGGGCCCCCAGCCCGGGAGCGCCGGAAGGAGGCGCACACGCACGCACCACATATGCAAGCTCTCACGCACGCACGCACGCTCACACGCCTGCGTGCACAGTCACGCAAGCACGCACCACGCACGTCTGCCCGCTCACTCGCACGCACGCACACACTCTCATGGCACGCACCACGCACAGGCCCACGCACGCGCACACACGCACGCACCGTGGATGGTGAGGTGCACCCAGCTGCCGTTGTGGAAGGTGTCGTACTGCTGGTCCAGCAGGAGCACCTTGCACTCGTACCAGCCCTGGTCCTCGGCGCGCACCTGCTCCAGCCGCAGGGATGCCTTGTCGTGGAGGCTTGCGCGGCCTGTGGAGAGGGGATAAAGTGGGTCAGGGGCGCGCAGAGCAACCTTGTGACCCCAGCCCGCCGCTGGGCAGGCCCAGAGCAGGGTGGCCCCGAGAGCCCCAGCCTCGCTGCCCACCAGCTGCACCGAGAAAGCCTCAGGTCCCTGCAACTTCCCATTCTCTTGGGGCCAAGGAAAGGCAGAAGGGATACGGAGCTGGCGGGAAGGGGGCCAGAGAACCCAGAAGAAGAGGAGCGGGACCCCGCCCCAGCAGGTCCCCGTGGCTGCCACGCCCAGCACCCTGTCTGCCCAGCACTCCTGTGGTGGGCAGAGAAGAGGCCGCTGGGGACAGGGTGCCGGCGTCCCCTCCTAGTCCTGTCGCAGAGGCCAGAGAGCAGAGCGTTCATCCAGCCAGAGCCCAGGTTCCGAGCGTGGCCGCAGGGCCTGTAGCCCGAGAATGAGGAGCAGCTGGCAGGCGAGCAAAGACCCGAGCCGCCCTCCCTAACTCCGTTCCCTTCCCCGGAGCAGCCCTCGGGGTCCCCCCTCCGCTCACTCTCCACTCAGGCCCACTCCTCGCCCCAGTGTCACGACCTCCTGTGCTTTCCTCCTTGTCTCCTCGGTAGTGGCAATCTGCCTACAAACCAGACAGTCAAAACCAACCAGGGCCGAAGAGACACAGACACAGGAGGAGGGAGAGGGAGAGAGAAAAATAGAAGCTGAGAAAAATGCAATGCAGACCTCAGAAATCAGAGGTAAAGATAAAAGCTGTGTCCCACCAGTTTCCTCTCTTCCTTTAGACCCCAACACACGCGCATGCGTACACACACTCAGACATGCATGCACACACACAAGCCCACGTGCAACCCTCGCACAGGCACACACGCCCCTCACTCACACCACCCCACGCCCTCCTCCCTGGCGGGCAGGCCCTGACAGTGACTCAGTGAGGCCACCACTGGCAGGAGTAATTGCAGAGCAAGACAGCACTGGGGCCAGGAGGAGGGAGAAGGGAGGCCGGAGGACGAGGCACCAAGTGGAGCAGGCGCCCAGACACTTCCCCACACTCAGGACTGGATGAGTCCCCAACTTCAGAGCCAGAGGGAAGGAGTGGGCAAAGCCAGACAGAGCAAACCCCGCAGCCGCCATGGCTCTGACGCAGCTGCTCCTGCCTGCCGAGCCAGCCGCCCTCCGCCGGCCTCCTCTCCCACACATCAGGCTCCTGGGCTCCCTTCTCCTTCTCTGGCCTTGGCCCCTGCGGCCCAGCGGGGCTGTGCAGGAAGCTCTGTGTCTGCCCCACCTCCGTGTCCCTCTCCTCACGCCACTTAATTAAAACCTACCAGAGTGCAAAGGATGGGAGGACAGAGACAGCGACTGGAAAACAGAGATAAGAGGCCCATCGGAAAAGACAAGAGGCCACGAGACAGAGGCAGGAGGGACGGTGCGGGGGCCCTGGAGCCAGGCGGGAAGGCCTTACCTGCATACTCAGGGTCCACATGGGGCGGGTAGTAGCCAAACTTGATGAAGATGGGGATGGGCACCCCGAACTTGAACCACTCGACGACATAGGGCGGGGGCTGCCCCGTCACCGGGTGGACCACGTCGCATCGCAGGACCACGCTCTCGCCGGCCCTCGCGGTCACGAACTCGGGCTCCTCTCGCAGGCCGTGGGCACCTATCGGGACAGCCACACGGGGACACAGGGAAGGAGGTGAAAGGAGATCCTGCCCGGCCCCCCCAGAGGCCACCCCTGCCCTGCCAACCCCAAAGAGCGGAGCCCGACCGCGCCCTCCCCCATGACACCCCCGCCAGCTCTGAGGAGCGTGGCCACTGAGAAGGTGGAGGGGCCTCGGCCCCTCTGTGGACACCGTGGCCCGGGCGCTGCAGCGGGTGAACATGGGACGTCTTCCTGCACCAGGATGATTCCCAGTGGAGCCTGGCAGGGGCTGCAGAGGCAGCCGTCCTCCCACGCCCCGCCCCCAGCTCAGCCTGATGTTCACAGCGCGAAACAAGAGTGCTCCATGCAGAAGCGGGGAATCCCTAACAGGCTGCGCAGAGGCTGCTCGTGGCATCAGCAGACGGAAAACCCCGGGGGCCGGAGCTGGCCTTTCTGCCCCTCCTCCCTCGGTCCGCCGCGCGTGCCGCAGAGGAGGGAGCGGGAGGGGCCTCCAGCCCGCCAGTTTCCACGCCCCAAACCTATCAGGCTGCGAAGCCCCAGACATCACCATTAATACCGCAGGAGACTAGGGACGCAGGAGGGGGACCCTGGGGCTGCTAACCTCAGCCAGCTAAGGGGAACATCCCCACCTCCGGCAGAGGACGAGGCGCACGGCTGGAAAGGCCTCGGCCACCCTCCCGAAAGGGACTGGAAGGGACGGGAGATGAGGCGGGAGAGGCTCCCCAGCAGCCCCACCCCCAGCCCAGCCGCAGAGAGAAGCGGTTAACCCAGGCTCCGCCCCGAGGCCTGCAACCCCACCTCCAGCCCAAAGGCACCTTGTCCAGCTCCCTTCCAAAGTGAGAGAGGCCCCTCCCGCTGCCTTCCCTCCAGTACCCACACTACCCCCCCAGACCCCAGCCCTTCCACCCCGCCCCTCCCCTCCAGTCCCGGCTGGGCCCCTCCAGGCAGCACCAGGGACAGCAGCTGCTCCGCGGAGGCTCCCAGCCCGGGACGCCCAGGAGAGCAGCCCCCGTACTCCGCGTGCCTCTGGGCCTGATTCTGACCACACCTTCCACCCCTGGGGGCTCCGGCCCCGCACCTCTCGTCCGTCTCTCCTTCGTGTCTCTGTGTCTTTCTGACTCTCTGTTCGGCTCCGGCTCCTCCTCCAACGTCTGTCTCGCTGTGTCTCTGTCATTTCTCTCTAGCTCCCCGCTGCATGGGTGATTCTGTCTACCTGCCTGTCTCTCCCCACCTCCCCGTTTATATGTCTCTATCAGCGCGTGTGTGTGTTGGGGGAACGTGTGGGGTTCCGTTCGCCTGCGCCGGGGGGAAGGGGTTTTGCTTTTCCACTGCCCGGTCTCCGTGGTGCGCTCTGCCTCCACCTCTCTGGGTCTGTGTCTCTGTCTGTCTCTCCTTTTCTCCCTCCCGCTCCAGCTCCCTCTCCTCCTGCAAATTGCGGAAGAAGGAGGAGGCAACCCTTCCAGAAGCTGATTGGCTACCGGTGACATCACTGTTTTCTAGAGAAAGAGCTAAGATCACAGAGTATTTTTGGAGCAGAGCAGACTGTTGCCCTCACCTGCCTGAGGCCCCAGCCGGTTTTCCAACCCTCCCAGCCCTGCTTTAGGCTAAGTTTGAATTCCAGCCCCTCAGGGAAAGCGCAGCAGGCATCCCCACCACACCCCAGGGGCACCAGGTGGGGACAGAGCCCGCCTCGCAGCACCCGGGCACAAAGGCTGCTCCTGGACCCTGCAGGGATGGGCAAGGAGCAGGCCACCTGAGCAAGCAGGGAAAGCAGCGCGTGTGCGCGCGTGTGTGCGTGTGTGCATGTACGTGTGAGTGTGTAGGCTTTGGAGGAGAAGAAGAGAGGCAATACAGGAACCAGGGTAAGAGGAGGGGGCTCCTCCCGGGGGCCGTCACCTGGGGCGCAGAGGCCTCCACAGAAGGGGCTCCTTCCCAGGCTCTGGCCCCAGCGCCTGGGGCAGGGGGCAGGGTCGCTTGCCCCCCTCTCACAGCGAAGGCTCTGGAGGCTCTGGCGGGGTGAGGGTCTGCACCTGGGCTGCCTCATTCTCACCGCACAGCAGCGAGGCAGCCTCTTCCACACCGGCCCCCGCCAGCCTGGACTCAGGGCTACGCACCCACCCCACCAAGGCCCACTCGGGCCTCAGCCCCGCCTCCACGGTTCTTCCCGAGGACCCTTCCACCAGCGGCCGGCAGCTGGGAGAGGACACGGTGAGGCCAGCAGTGCAGAGACGGGAGCAAAGCCAAAAGAGACCCGCTTCCCAGGAAGAAGGCCGGGGCGGGGCGTGGTGGGGGGAGGCCCTGCCCCAGCTCCCACGCTCAGACCAGCCCTCCTGGCTTTCTGAGTCCTAAAATATTTATCAGCTTCCCTCATCTCCTCAACACACACCCACACCCACACACACACCCACACACACATACACACACACACAGCGTGTGCTCTCACTCCATCACCCACGAGCACTTCCCCGTCAGCCTGAGCCTTTCTGAGCCAAGCATGTCTAATAAAACACTTTCTCCAGAAAAGCTCACTGCAAAAAAAAAGTAAACATTGCTAGCAGCAGAGACCGAAGAGGGGCTTGACGGAGGAGAGAGATGACCTCAACCCTAGGAGGACACGACCCAAGTCGAAGAGTGAAAGAGAGTCCAGGGGCAAGAATGGAGACAGATGGTAGGGTGCGAACAGACAGAGACAGAGAGAGACAAACAGACAGAGAGATCTCAGAGGCACACAGGACTCAGCCTGGGACACAGAGACACAGGCCTTCAGAGGACCCAGAGCCAGGAGGGGGCAGAAGGGAGGCCGTTAGTCCAGGAGCAGCAGGCTGCTCACGGTGGCTGGCTCAGAAGGGAGCAGGAAGGAGGGGGCAGGGGAAGACAGGGATTGGTGGTGACCTGAGTGGGAGGGCTGCAGCGGGGGGAGGCCCCTGACCCCTCCCCAGCACAGAAGCCTGCAGCAGCAGAGGGACAAGGCCGCGAGCCTCAAAGGGGCAATGGTGTCTGCAGGGTGAGCACCGCAGGGGTGGGAGGTGTCCTGGATGCCACACACCCCTTTCAGAGAAGGCAGGACTCAGCTGTACCTGGAGGAGCAGAGCAATTTTGCATCTTGGGGACACACCCTGGTGGGCAGAGAGGGCAAAGGAGGACGCGGTGCCCCTGCGGTCTGGCTGACCTTTCCGAAAGCCCACTGGGGACAAACCCACTGCTCTCTGGGCCAGGTGGTGCCCGGCGGGTAGCCGGATCCAGGGCTGCCACTGGATCCCCCCCGTGAGCACAGGACCACGGGGCATCCAGGGCCTGACGCCCCCACCCCCCAAGCTGGGGCTCTTCCACAGGCGGGGCTGGGGGAGGAGAGGTGCCAGGACCGGAAGGTCTGACGGCGGGAGAGCCGGCCACCAGGCAAACCCGGCTTCCTCTAGGCCGCTCCTACATACCAGGCCCGTGCTGGGTCGCAGCGCTGGCTGACAGGCGTACTACCATCTCCATTTCACAGGTGAGCAGGCTGGCGGCCCCCTGGCTGGCTCAGCCGCCCGCCGGGCAGCAGGTCGGAGCAGGTTCCAGCTGCCGTGTCTCCCCTTGGCCAGGCCACAGGCCCAGGGACCAAGGACGAAGCCCCCTCCCACGCCGACCCAAGAAGCAGCCCCCTCCCCTCCGCTGAGTCAGGCCAGCCCCTCCACACCGCACACTCTGGACAGGTTCTCACAGCCAGAGCTCTGCAGCCCTGGACCCAAGCAGGACGGCAGGGTGCGCCTGGGTCAGAAGACAGCTGCTGGCACTGGGCTGAGCCCCCTCCACCTGGGACCCGGGAACTCGGGCTGGGTGTGGCGGCGGCGCCAGCCTCCTCCTCTGTGAGTACAAGTCCTCAGGGAGCCTCCCCTCCCCCGCCCACCCCACCCCCCAACCCCGTCCCCCTCCCCCTCGGGCACCAGGCTCCCAAACCACAGGCCTGTTATCTAATAATACCAGCGCCAGCCACCACCTCCATCTGCCAGCCTAAAAATAATCCCTGCTGAGTCCAAAAAAGGCACAGCCCCCAACAGTCCCCCAGTCCCTCCTCCCTGACACGCCAGGGGGTTCCAGGAGATTCCAGGGAGCTTGTGATCGGGCTCCCCCGGAACAGCACCCACCCCCTACCCGGGGAGTGGAGAGCCAGAGGCTTGCACGAGGAAAGCTGAGGACAGACATACCACCCAAAGCCAAGTGTGATGTGGAGGAACGGCCGTGTCCACGTCAGGCCGCACCCTGGTTGTCCTTCCCAGGAGGCAGGTGGGCCGGAGGGCACCGGGACAGCCTGCCTCCGGCCAGGACCTCCACCCCCGCCTGGGCAGATCCTCCTTCTGCGGTCTCCCCAGTGCTGACCTCACGGCCCTTCGGCCCCCACTCCCCATCAAACTCTCAGGGCCCAAGTCAAAGGTCAGTTGAGCCCAGCCTGGCCCTGGCTGGGAACCTTTCCATTTTCTCTCGAGGCCCTGGGGGAGGGGCAGGATCTGCAGGCCCCCTCCTCCGTGGGCGCCTCTCCACCCTGACCCTCCTGGCCCAGGCAGCCCGAGAGGCAGCAACGATGCTATTAGCAGCCTTAATTTGCTCTGGGCTAGATTGTATTTCCAAGAGCCTTTCCCCAGGAGCCACTGGCAGGAAGCAGTCAGCAATCCAACCTCCGCTCTGCTCCTGCAGCGGCTCCTCCATGGACAGACCCAGCGACACCCACCCTGCCCGCCTGCCGGGCGGGTACAGGCCTGGTCCAAGTGCCCGTGAGCCGGGAGAGCCCTCAGGTAAGGCGCCAGGTGGTCACGAGTAAGCGGGGGATCGAAGCCCGTGTCTGCTCGTAGTGAAGCGTCAGCACTCCCTACTCAGAAGCCAGAAAACAGGACAGCGGCTGCCCTCGTATAGTGTGTGCAAGTTACCTGCCACAGCCGGTGGCCAGGCCTGGACCAGGAGGGAGCTCGGGGGCGGGGCGGGGTAGAGGGTCGGGCAGAGAGCAGCACCCAGTCCCCTCCCTTCCAGGAGGACAGGCAGGCTGGCTGAGACCTCGCTCACAGTCTGGCCCACGAGGAACTGCTCTCCGAAACCTTCATGGAGCCCCTGACTCTGCTCACCAGTCTTCTGCTTATTCACGCAAGAGAGAACAGAAAAGCAGGAAGATTCCTAAGAAAAATAGGTCAGCTGCCTCGGGCAGGCTGGGCTCTCCCCCATGGGCAGGGCCAGGCTACAAGCTGCCTCTGCGCCCGGCTCCCCAGGGACCCAGCCCCTTCTCCACTCAGGAGTCTGGGCTACTGGGCAGCCGAGACCAGAGCCCACCTTACAAGACAGACCCGTCTTCTGCATCCCTGGGGCTCTGCCCGTGTGTGTCCCCACTGAGGCTTTCTCTCGGGGAGTTCAGGCATCCTTCGACCATCCCCTGGGCTGAGCCTCCAACTTTGGGGGCTTCTGCGCTGCCCAGACTCAGGTGTGGAGCAGGGGGCAGGGAAAGTCAGGCGTCTGCTCCAAGTCTAGCCTTACTGCCACCCACGGCCACCAACACTCAGACGGGAGTGATGCCCCACCTCGTTCCTAGAGACTCTGGGTCGCCTGTCTGCTGCATTCACGTGCACATGCAAACACACAGCTGCACACACTGCGTGCACACGCGCGCACGTGTGCAGTCACCTCCAGCAGCTTGCACCAGTGACAGCTCTTTCCACAATTCAGATCCACTCTCACACAAGCTGCTTTACCCATCCTCGGGCGCAGACAGGAGAGAGCTGCTCCCCGAGACCCGAGCCCAGCCTGAGGAGGCATGGGACGTGCAGGAGGACAGGAAGCCTTTCAGAGAGGAGAGAGTTCGTCCCTCTCGGGCCTCACCCCCTCGCGCCCAGGTCCGCCCTCACTCCCTCAGCGCAGCAAGGCTGTGGCAGCCAGGCCCGAGGAAGGGAGGTCTGAGGGAGGAGAGTACAGGGCCAGGAGCCAGGACAGAGGGCAGCCAAAGCAAGGCTGGAGTTCAGCACCTCCCGGCCAGGCAGCATCTGCTCCTTAGGTAACCAGATCCCAGCTTTCTGTCTCAGAGCCTCAAACCTGAAACCACCAGCCCTGGGACCCGGCAGCTCCAGGTCCAGCACACGCCGATCTTGGGGCCAGCAGCTGAAAGCTGATTCTTCACACACACACCCT